TTTCATATCCTTCAGCTAGATAACCACTGCTGACTTCTCTCAGTACCTCCACACTGACTCCCTCATGGACCAGACAATCCCTACAATTATCCCAGTATTGTGGGAAGAATATTCATGAGCATGAGTTTGTTAGTTGAAGCCACTCAGATCATGAACTTTAAGAATATTGCTCTGTAAGTGCTAGCCTTAAGCAGTTTTAAATGTTTATCTTTGCCCTTTGACAACATTGTAGATTTTTTTGGTCTGTGTGTCTTTTTTCAGATGCAGCAACAAACTGCACATAATGTTCCAAGAATGTACGTACGTATGTGCCATGATTTGCATACCTGTTTCAGATTGATATTCTAAATAGTTATTAGTTTTGAAAGCAGCATATGATAGCTATAAACCAAAAATAGCTAAGCCCTAGTAGAAAAGCTTGGCGGGAGAAAGTACTATATGTTGAGGACAATTATGAAAACGTTACTGGCCCTAAACACATAAGCAGAGGCTTTTCAACTTTTTCACAATTGGAAGAATTTTACCTAATTATAGAGTAAAGCTGAAATACATTTATAGTGTGAACAGTGTAACAATCTGCAACCACAGTGTTCTACACAGTTTGCATGCAGTAAACATTTTCTGACAGAATTATTAAAGCACAGAGGTTAGGCTAAGAAGTCCGACAGATCTGGGTATGAGTCTAACTGAAACTTACTAGTTATATATAACTTTAGGTAAACTAATCTCTAAGCCTCAGTGTCTTCATCTATAAAACAGGAAAAATAACAGTACGTACCTACCTCCTAAGAATGTTTTAAGGATTAAATCATGCCTGTGAAGCACTAAACCTAGTACCCAATACACAGCAGCAAGCAGAATAATGGCCCCCCTCCAAAGATGTGCAGTGCTAATCCCCAGAACCTGTGAATATGTTACATGGCAAGGGAGGGATTAAGGTTGCAGATGAAATTAGATTGCTATTTAGCTGACTTTAAAATGTGGGGATTATCCTGGACTATGCAGTGGGTTCAATGTAATCACAAGAGTCCTTATAAATGAAACAGGGAGGCAGGAGAGTGTCAGAGTCAGAGACAGAGAGATTTGAAGATGCTATGCTGCTGGCTTTGAAGATGGAGGAAGGGAGTGTGAGCCAAGGAATACAGGCAGCCTCTAGAAGCTGAAAAAGCAAGAAAAGTGTTACTCCCTTCAAGCCCTAGAAGGAGCACAGCTCTGCTAACACCTTGATGTCAGCTCAGTGAACACATTTTGGACTTCTGACCTCCAGAACTATAAATTTGTGATCTTTAAAGCCACTGAATTGGTAATTTGTTACAGCAGCAACAGGAAACTAATACAAACTACAAACTGCCAATTCATTAGTATTACTGCCATGTCAAATAATCATTTCCTTTTAAATTAAAAAAAAAAAAATCTATTTTTAAATAGCCCAAAATATATCAGCCACAGAGATAACTGAAATAGTGATAACTAGTGCTATGGTTAATTAAACCAGTTTGTCTAAATGACTGATTTCACAAAATAATCTGAATAGAAAAGGATTCACCCTATTTTTCTTTAAAATGACTTACAAAAAAATGAGTCCCCTGGAAATAACCCAAGTGTCCATCAACAGATGAATGGCTAAATAAAACATGGTATATCCACATAATCGAGTATCATTCAGCCATAAAAAGGAATGAAGTTCTAATACATGCTACACTATGGATGGACCTTGAAAACATATGCCAAGTGAAATAAGCCAGACACAAAAGGAAAAATGTTGTACAATTCCACTAATATGAAATATCTAGACTATGCAAATTCTTATAGATAGAAAGTAGATAAGCGGTTACCAGGAGCTAGGGGTAGGGGAGAATAGGGAGTTATTTTTTATTGGGTATAGAATTTCTGTTTGGGATGACGAAACGTTTTGGAAATAGATGGTAGTGATGGGTGCACAACATTGTGAATGTACTTAATGACACTGAATTGTACACTTAAAAATGGTTAAAATGGCAAATTTTGTGTTACATATATTTTACCTTTATATATATATATAGTTTTATATATATATATAGTTTTTTATATATATATATATAGTTGTCCCTTGGTATCCACGAGGGATTGGTTCCAGGACCCCAGTGGATATGAAAATCCACGGATGCTCAAGTCCCTATAAAATGGTGTAGTATTTGCATATAGCCTACACATATCCTCTGGTATACTTTAAATCATCTCTAGATTACTTATACCTAATACAATGTAAATGCTATGTAAATAGTTGTTATACTGTATTGTTTAGGGGATAATGACGATACGAGGTGAACAGTGCTCAACGGGTGCTGGAGAGAGACTAAGGATATGTGAAATGGTAGGAGACTATAGCAGGGTATGTGGTACTCGGCGCATGGCAAGTTCAAGTTTTGCTTTTTGGAACTTTTTTTCCCCAAATATTTTCAATCCACAGCTGGATGAATCTGTGGGTGCGGAACCCATGGATACACAGGGCCAACTGTATACATATATATATTTCTACCAACTATTAGAAAAAAATGATCAAATTTTCATAGTAATATGTTTCCAGGTTACACCAGCAGTCTGATGGTTAAATAAATTCATAAGAAGAGCAACATACACATACAAAAAATGAGTGTTCCAAATATGATTGTCATTTTTTTGGTGAATGAAAACAGTATGGTAAAACTAACCATCAATCATATTGTTAAATAAAACAAGAAAATGTCCCTCTAGGAAACACTGTGAAAAATAGCATATTCTAAGTTCATCTATATGATAACAACCACTGTATACAGCCTGACAAACAAATTTTTATTAACTATGCTTCCTATTGATATGAATACAGTGTTCACTGAATGAATAATTTATAAAGCTCAAAAAACACGATCCATATGGAAATAAACTTGTAAATGGCTAGAACATTAAGCAGTATGTGACTGGATCAGATCTTCATGTGTTTTCAGTGTAAAAATGCCAATTCTCTGCTTCAGAGCACTAGCCTTCACAAAATGAAATGTTTCAGTGGTAGCACAAGGCGGACCCTGGACGTACAGGAAGAAAATTTCAACTTTTTTTTTATTTTCTCCTTTAAAAATTTTTTTTCTCTGTGTATGTTTTGTAATGTACATAATAATCAGTACAAACTGTATGTGTAATTTATAAATAATCAAAATTTGGAGTGTACGCTCAAACTTTTTTTCTGATAGGGGTTGTACAATCTGAAGCGTTTATAGAGTATTATTAAAAAGAACCACCAAGCCACTGCCTCTGTCAGTCTTATGCTTGATTCTGGTCTAAAAATGCATACCTATGAAGTTTAAACAAAAGCTTCAAACTACAACTTAAAGCAAGTTTGCAATCAAGTTTTTAAACAGGTTAACCACACACAAAAAGTGTGTCAAATGTTTCAAAGTAGTATTTATTTCTTAAAACATATTATGAGGTAGATTATACCAAAATATTCAGTGCATATAGTAATACAAAGGTTTATTAAAACCTTAAAATTTTATGTAGGTGTGTATGCAGATAAAACAAATTTACCTAAAACCCTAGATTCATCCATTTGAAAGACTCAAAATAATTCATTGGAAAAGGTTAAAAGCCAATTATATTCTTATATTCTTAGGAAGCTTTCCTAATTCTGAAATGAAGAACGTTTGATCTGTCAAAAAGTTTGGGGGAGGTACTTTTGTTTTTAGATTTTAGAAGTTACTGAATCATTCACTTTGTGGCTAGTTTTCAATGGATGTGAATTGCTTTACTAGCAGTAGATAAAAGACACTGTAGCCCTCATTATTTTGTTTCCATACTGCCAAGACGATAACACCTAAGCAGACCAGCTACATAATTTGCGGGCCCAGGGCAAAATGAAAATGCAGTTTTAAAAACTTCAAGACAGCTACAGCAGACTATTATACCAAGAGTGGGGCCTTTCTAAGCAAGGCACCTACATGACTGCACAGGTTGCATGTTTGTGAAGCCAGCCCTGCATATGCTTCAACTGCACATATGAAATACCTTTGAAAACTGAGTCCCTACTACTGGACTAGGTGTATGGTAGGGATTCAAATGTTTGTTGAATGAAAAATTTTGTCTTATTTTGCAGTTTTCCAAATCAATTAGACGTGCTTAGCTACCTATGGTCAGAAAAAAATCTTACCTTGATGAATACAATCTGTTCATTTTAATAATAGATGATGGACTCTTCTAGTACTGAAGAGTTTGCCATCACATTCTGGCCTCATGGGAGCCTGAGGGCATATATGGTGAAGGTTCATTTGATTTGTTCAACAGATATTTATTGGACAACCGCTCCGTGTCAGGTCCTGTACCAGACACTGGGGATACAAGAAGAAATAAGACAGTCCTGCCCTCAAGGAGCTTACAGTCTAGCATAAGAATTTACAGCACCTCGGAACCTAGTGACAAAACTTTCTGGGTGTCTAGTATATTATCTGGAATACTCCAAATTTCCTGAAAATGTGAATCTAAAATTTACCAGAAAGCACAGTTTAGAAATGGAAGATAGAGTAAAATTCAAAAGAAAATTCAAACATTTACATTTTAAAGTAAAAACCATGGAATCTGAACGAGGAAGAAACTTGGGATAGTTGAAAATATTTTAAAGACTTTGGACCAGATTTAAATTTTTTAATTTTAAAAATTATTTTATTATCTCTAGGTGACACTTAAAACACATACATACAGGGCTGTGTATGTGAGATGTGTTCCTTCAGACTTTTGATACAACCAATATTTCTATAACTAATTTACAACCGAAAGCAGTATAAAGGTAAAAATCTGAGACCTTCCTTTTGATAATAATTTCCATTATCATTTGAATGAGAGAAATTGTTAGAACATCATTTAGAATCATCTTTGGATATAAATTTTGGCACAACCTTATTTTGCAATGAGACTAAACTGTAACAATGTGTAATAATTTGAGCATATATTTTAATGGTATTGACAAGGTTTAGTGGCATCTACATACTCTTTAAGTCTTAAGTCTACCTGGATTTTCCTTTTTTTTTTCCTCCTGTACTCTTCCCCTTTTTTCCAAAGTATGAAAGACCCTTGTGCAAATAGAGAGCCTTCATTGTTGCTTTGCTGTACTTTGGTAAATTGCTGTTTATTCCTTACTCTAGCAGCATCCTTAATTTGTAGTATTTTACTTAGTGGCTACTGAAAAACTACCAGCTGAGGTTTTAACGGGGAGCTTCTATTATCCAGTAGGTTGCTGTGAACTTGTAAGAAAAGTGGTAAGCAACCGAAAGAGCTGTGGACTCTGACAGCTTAGTCCTCTCATGTCCCAGCTCTTTACAGATGAATACAGCACATGAGAAGGAAGTCGGTGCCTGCTACAAGCAGGCATATTGGTAGTATGGCAGGAGACAGAACAAACTACTCAGCAGATATTAAAAAAAAAAATAAAACCAAAAAGAAAAACAGCAATCTGGGGCAAATGGTTGTACATAACTCAGGGCAAAGAGAATCACTTTATAGTAATTGATATGATTAATAATAACACACATTTGTTATAGCCCTTTTCATTTTATGAAGTGTTTTACAAACAGTAGAGCTCATTGGATATTTGTAATACCACATTAAGAATACAGCTTTACCTTTTACCATGGAAAAGTGAATTGTAACTTAGCATTCTGTTTAAGAAGGTAGGGAAGGTAAGTATACTAACATATCTGAAACACTTACATCAAAAATAATCACGAGTTTTAAATTTTGGCACTTAGAGATATGCATTAGTTATCAAAAAATTCATATGTATGGTTTCTTTCATGACCAGCACAGGGTGTTACTGAATGAATTTTCACAGCACCCAATGACTGCTGGTCATTAAATGGGGATGATTGTCAGCAGTAAGTTATCAGACTTTATTTCTCCTGTTAAACACAAGCTTAGCAGATACTTATAGATACCAATACCACATATGATGACTAACATGGGAAACACATAGCTTCTAAAGTGTTCTGAGTGTTTTCCCTATATTGCACTTTCTAGAGAACAAAACTTTAACACCGATACAATATGATCTTGGTTCTAGAATGAAACATGCCCTGACATAGGAGTGGGAACATGTGATTTACCTTTCCTTGTTTGTTTTCCTTAAATTTTTGGTATAGCCTCTTCTCAGATATAACAAGGAGAAATGACAAAATATACATGTGCTTATGTGCTTTTGGGCTTCTGGGGAAAAAGACCACACACATTTTTAAGACTAAAATAAAGGTCTCTTCTGCTTTAGCCACTTCATTTTTACAATTGCAAATAAGGAACTACTGTTTATTTGATCGTCCTAACTTATTTAACATAGCATTACCATAAATATACTGTTCTGCAGAAAGCTTTTAAAAACAGAACAATTTACACTAAAAAAAAGCCTTTTATATTTACCAGTTATCATGAATAAAAATGACTGAATAAAATTTAGAGAAAAAAACCACTAGACTTTATATTCTAAGTGAAATAGGACCTAGAAATTGTAAGATGTTATTTCCTTCAATAGTACAGTATTTGTGATGCCTTTAATTTCTTGATTAATATCCCCTGATAACTTTTTGATCATGAACGTACCTCAAGGAGGAGAAAGGTTTTGCTGAGTTTGCTGGCTGTTAATTTTTAATTCTCATCTGTGTGACATTTATACAAGACTGTTTATCCTCCATTTTTCTTCTATGCCTTACAGCTACTTATCCTGCTAGAGGTTTAGTTAGGACTGGACTGTATGTATGCCTTGCAGTTTATGGTATTAATTCTCATGGAAATTGTTAATCTTGTAAATGTTCTTTTACATGGTACAGAAGGTAAGCCAGCTTTTAATAAAGAACTTCCAGAGGATGCTAAACAAACAAACAAACAAAAAAGGCCTTTTCAAACAAAGGGGCAAAATGGTAGAGTAGAAAGCACAGGCTTCGGACTCAAACAGACCTGGGTTCAACTCTCGCTGCTGCCACTCTGTGACCAGGGCAAGTCACTTAACCCTTCTGACCCTTTATTTCCTCCAAAGTTAACTGAGGCTCATTCCACCTGCCTTGTAAAGTTTTTGTGAAAGCTGGTAGTAAGGTGTGTACGTTATTTGACACGTGATAGGTACTCTCTAGAGGTTAAAGAATTATTAGGTGAGTTTAGAGTTGGGCAACATGTTGGTCCAGCATCTGACATGGAACTCTTTCCAAAGGGGATGAAATTTATAGAACCTTCTTTTAAACATCAGTATGGTCACTGTACTTAGTAGCTTACTTTTAATGGTAACATTGAGCGTTTTTTTCCTCTAAAACTTTTAAATAGGTGTTTTTAAAAAGTTTATGGCACGCCTATGTTTTTTCACTGTGCTTTGTGGTAATGTTTTTGATGACTGAAAAATCTCCAAATTTTTAAACATCGGTAACATGACGTACTTTAAAAAATTTGTTCTAGAGCCAACATTGTTGGTCCAAGTAAAATCTAACTTATGTAAAATGTGTGTGAATGGCTGTTCATTCAGTAGGTCCTACAAAGAAATGCCATTTTTATTCATGTATTTGGGTTGCTTAAACATTTCTATAGGATTTACAGTACTTTGCTTCTTATGGCTGAAATTCGCAGCATCTACTCCTATGCCTTTCCTTTTTCAATCCACTGGCTAGTTTAAGAGTATTCACAATAATATAACTTAAAGACAGAATAAAGTGTTCATAAGTCATTAACAGCCAGCATAATACAGTAGAAATTGCCCTGAGCAAGGAATTAGGAGACTTGAAATGAAGTCCTGGCTCTGATACTAACTTTGCAGGGTGACCTTGGACAAGACACTTAACTTCTCTCGTTTGTCAAATAATGGGATTGATTTCATTTTAAGTTATTTTCTACCTCTAAAATTGCTTTCATTTACTTGAAAAAATAAAAATAAAACACCTTCTGGGAGTTATGTTAAGCACCAGATGGGTACAGAAGTATTTACTGCCTTAAGGCAGTGTTTTTCAAACTGCAATCCAGGGACTACCTGAAGAAAGACTACTTGGGGTTCCTGTTAAAAATACACATTCCTGTCATCTCCCCCTGGTGGAATGAGAATTTCCTAGGGTGGGGTCCAGGTTTCCGCATTTTCCACAAGTTCCTCAATGATTATTATCCACCCTAATGGTTGAGAATCACTTGGCCTAGGAGAGTGTGATTTAAATGAGAAAGGCTAGAGCATGGCTTAAATTACTCCAGCGGATGGCAACTCCCTTCTAAACACAAAGCCATTCAATGTGGAGGGGACTGAGGAAAGCGGCTTACATCAGCAGAGCAATCAGCCTTGTGCTTGACCCTTGCTTGATGCTTTTTACTTGCAGTGTTCCAAAACGAAACACAAAAAAAGGTCTTGATATCAGCACAGTCTTGACATCCATAGTCATTGTCTACCAGAGTTATGACATCAGCTTGAAAACAGGACTGCAGTTCTCCCTGCACTAACAGTAAGATATTGAGCTTTGCCACCTGGCTCAATGAAGAAAGATAAGTAAAACACAACCTCTTTACTCTTGACTCCCCCTTGACCCCAATAGTATACACATGTCACATACTGTGTGATTCAAATAATCAGGCAGAGATAATAGAGAAAACCTGTCACATTGCTCTCATCACTCTATGACCAGATATTGTACTAACCAATAAAAAAAAATCCTCTTCTATACAACAGAAACGACCAATGTCCACTCCTTCCCCTCCTTTCCTTTCTAATTCTGTTGATAGAAATAAGATGCCAAGTAAGGACAGACAATAGAGATTTTAAATTCATACAAGTAAAGCAGATTACAAAAAGACATGGCAATCTTTTTTCTACAATTTTACAACAAACAAAATCCCTCTTGCTGTGAAAAATTTGTAAAATTTTAACAGGAAACTTAAAAGATATTTTGTCGCAAAACTTACAGTCATGAGAATAACACCATTAACTGTGCTCACTGTAGAGAAATATAACAGCAACTTTAAAAGGCAAGTATATTGATACATGAAGATGAAACTGTTTCAACAACCAATATGCCAACATCAAACTTCTGAATTTTATTCACTGCTGGTGTCACAAGTTTCTCCTATCCCAACCAAAACTTCTGTCTAATGCCCACAAAATTCACATTAAAAAAAAAAGAAGAAGAAGAAGAAAAAGAGGGAGAAAGAAACTTGACAAGAGCTACCATGCAAATTAACCAGAGGAACCAGAGTTCAGTGGCACAGGGTCAGCAGGAGCAAAGGAATGCTGACAAAGATGCTGCTGCATAGAAGTTAAAACTTGGAGATGCCCGTATGATGCTGGACGCCCAAGTACTTAGGTCACAGGTATGTTAATGGACCCATAAGAACCAGGATCTTGACCCAAACTTATAAGATCTTCTAAAAAGACAATACTTCACCTAAATTGAAGTAATTTATAAGTCAAACACCAGAAGAGTTCCTTATTTGATGTAAGTTGTGCCTAAAACTTTGGCTGATATAAAGAAACCCGCCCACTAAGGCACCCTGAGGCAATCTGACAATGTGTAGGAGAGAACTTTGTTGTCAGTACCACATCATTATGAGAGTACAAAGAACGAATCACTCGAAGGGGACTGGCTTCTTTGGGCAAACAGTCAACAAGTTCACTGCATTGTTTGTCAAATCCCAACAAGCGGATCCCGTAGCCATGTGGGGAAGAAATCATTCGCCCATCGGGGCTGAAGCAAAGTTCTTTGATATAACCCCTGCCTACATTGGCTTCTTCAATGTAATGAGTCAGTCGTAGTGAACAGCGAGGTGAGACGGGTCGCACAGGAGTGCCTTCTTGGAATTCATAAACACAAGTCCACTAGGGGAAGAGAAGGGAGACAAAAGGTTATAGAGCCCCAAATAGTATTACAGGTAGTCCTTATTTTTAAAAGGCTCAGCAGAATGCCAGAGTTAGAGAATTGCTGCAAGAAATCATCCAGATGAACGCTACCCTCCTCCCAACTAACAGAACTTACAGGCCTCATACCTTCTTGTTTTTATAAGCTGAGGCTATTCTGTGCTATGACACTTCAAAGCCTTTTGTTCCCTGAGGCTGTCTATGACTTCTGCAGTAATGTAATAAATTCACTTTTTTGAGGGCAACAACAATCTTGATGTTAAAAATTCCTAGAGACCAGCCAAGCCCTAGAGTACCTCTCCCTCTACATACTTCAAAGGCTCTTCTCTCCTTTCATTTGTGGCCTCTAGAGCCAGTGAGGTCTTCCGAAGACTCCTGGCTGTCCAGAGTGATGGGAATCATACGGTCATTTAAGACCTTTTCCCCTCGTCATCAGTTTAATCTGTTCCTTCCCCAGAGCTTCCCCTGCTTTTTAAAAAGAGAAAATTATAATATTCAATTTGCTTAGCCAAATCTGATATTTAGCCAGCTTAACTGAAACATCTCAGCCCTATATTTACTGTATAAGGGTTTTTTAGGGTGAGATGAAGGAGGCAAGGATTAAGAAGGTAGGCACAATCGGAGCTGATGAAGCCTTTAAAGCACCTCCCAGCTTGCCCCACCCAGGCAGGAGGGGCGGAAGAAGAGTTTGCAAGGGATAAAGACACCATGATACAAGAGGACAGAGATGGCAAGTCAAGAAGCAGGATATCTGACTGTGTCCTTGAGGGCAGGGACTATGTCCAGTGATCTAAGATCTGCAGACATGGCTATGGCAATTTGTCCAATCAGCTTTGTTGAAGGTGGAGCTCTGCTGCCCATACCTCCTGATCATCAGTGTTGCTTGAGCACCGAAGAAGAGTGGCCCAGCCTTTTGGGTGCAGCTGTAAGGACGTGATACAGTTTCCACGATCTCGCTCACCAGGAACTTCAGGGGTTAAGACTTCAAGACTATTTCGTGGTGAAACTCCTAAAATAAAAGAAAATGAGGATGTGGAATTTGTACTGTCAAAGGACTAAGGCAGTTCATCAAAGCTTCGGTTTCTGGCAGCCACCTCCCATGCCTGTGTTCCTTAGTCTGCCCCTTATGCTACCACATGTAAAAGAATATGACGCCTGCCTCCTAAATGTTCGGATGCGTGTCTTTGGTGTAAGAGCATGGGAAAGTGTATGACGAGAACTAGAGTCAAAGTTCCTACAGCAGAAATCACCACTGACCTAAGGCTAAAGTATGAAAGCTGACTAGGGGTCCTTTTGATTTGGGTCTACATCTCAGAAATCTCTTTTTTCTTCAATTAAGAAACAAAGTTATATGACATGAAAGGAATCTAGGAAAGTAAAAGATACAATTCTCATCACAGAGGACGTGGTGCTCTCTAGATCAGAGAAGGAAATACTTGGAAACTGTGAAACTACCTTTAAATAAATAAAAGGCTATTATGTATGCAAAATGCATGACCTATTATGGCCCCTGAGGACAGAACTATAAATAACAAACAGGCCTGTACCATTGGAGGTAAAGGAGGACACCTCACACAGAAGTATGTCAAAACAAGGGGTGGGAGGCAATGTCAACCATACATGTTCCTGGCAACTCTGCTATGCCCTAAAATTTCCTGCCTAGCTCCCAACGAAAATGATTGCTATAATAAGCCACTGTTAATAATGGGAGTATGTCATGGCTCCACACACATGGCTCAGGTGTGTGGAGAATCACTTTCATATACATTGTAAGGAAGCAGCTTAGAAATTCAGTATCAAGAGAAATATTTCAACGCTTCTCTGCCTGTGAGAAGGAGTTGCTTTGAAAAATATTGAGCTCCCTCTGTCAGAACTTTTGTGAAGGGTTTCTCACAGGGCTTGGAACCAGTTTGCTCCAGTTTGAACAGCGTGCTGAGAATTTGCATTTCTAACAAGTTCCCAGGCAATGCTAATGATGCTGGTTAGGGATCAATTCTGAGAACCACTAGTAGAGCAGTGGTTCTCAAGATTTATTATACATAAGAATCACCTGGGAGACTTGTTAAACTGTAGATTCTCATTCAGTGTATCTGGGGTGGAAATGCAAATTCTCAGCTGGGGTTTGAACTGGAATGAACCAGTTCAAAGCTCTGGTTTCAGGGACAGACATATTACCTTCTTTTTAAAGATTCCCTTAGATTACTGAAATATTGACAGAAATCTGTAAACCTCTAAATTATGGCATTACAACTCAATCTATACCTAAAGAACAATTTCATATGTAGTTGAACTTTAACAATTTTAGAAAAAAAACAAACCCCTATTTCAAGAATTAGTTTTGAAAACACATAGCAAAGGCAGAAAAGAAACTCATTCTGAGTAGTTAAGCAATGGTTTTCTACCTGTGCTCCTTGGAGGTTCCTAAGGAGCTCACAAAAGGGGGGAACCAAGTTGGGACAAGGATGGAGATGGGGTGGGGAAAAGTAGAGGGTCAAAGGCCTCCCTAATTTCACCTGAACCAGAGCAGCTCCATTCTATTTGTGTTAAGTCCCTAGGAATCCACAGCAGATTTCATTTCAAAAATAGAGTTCTAATTCTGAAATGAGTTAGAGTATTTGCCAAAGGATGGTACTAACATACTTTGACACCTCAAGACCGAGGATTTCCAACATTCAGAGCAATTTCACCTATAAGCCCACTTCCCAATCTTCTCTCTTTCCACCCTCTGACTTTCTTCCTCTCTCTGTTCAGGCTCCTACACATCATCTCTTCCCCCATTCCCAACTCTCTGTAGCATGAAACTGCCATATATTTGTGTTTACCATTGGTCAATAACAAGCAAGCATGTTAACTATTCTTTTCTTCTTAAATTAAATTTCTTTTTCTTGTGGATGGCTTAATCAATCAATAAAGATTTTTCTCAATGATTATTAGGAGCACTTGCTTGTTTCCCATGGCCAAAGTAGAAGGTGAAGAACCTGCAAAAGAAGTTTCTGCTACAAATCAAAGGAGAAATGTTACACCTCTAGGCATAAATCTTGATATTTAAAGGGAAGTTTTTAACCTTAAAGTGAAACATCACAATCTTCAACATCCAGAGGAAACTGGATAGGTCATAGGTTAAGGAGAGCTCTCAAACTATTCTACTGGCATAAGTAGCTGTGCAAAACAATCAATTATGCATTTCCTGAGCACCTACCAGGTGAGGCCACCTAGAGAAAAAACAAATTAGAAGTCTTTAAGAAACAGCCCCTGTCAAAAGATTAGATAGGAAACTTAGGGGGCAGTGAGTTTATGTTAACGGGGGAAGAACAACTCAGAAAAGGAGGGTGAGAATGGTTGCACAACTCGAAGAATGTAATCAATGTCACTGAATTGTACTTGCAGAAATTGTTGAACTGGTGTATGTTCTGTGTACATTCTCAACAACAACAAAAATAAATTATAAAAAAAAAAAGAAGAAAGAAAAGAAAAAGAAATAGTCCCTGTCCTAACTACTGAGGTAGGAAACATGCCTGTCTCCGAACCGTGGTTCAAAATGACAAAAACACATACTGGCTATCAATACTCAGTTCACAAAGAGGAGGACAAACAACGAACACTCTAAGAGCTTAGGGGTGGATTAGTATGGAGAGGGAGGATGGGTGGGGTTTGCACAGACAGTAGGAGCGACAGACTGGGCAGCTAGTTCTGCCAGAGTGGCTGGGAAAAAGCTAGCAAAAGCAGAGTGGGGCCGGATTGTAGCTCACTTTATCCCATAACCACTCTGAGGCTGTGAGGATTTGCACAGATAAAGCAACGGCAGAACAAAAAGCCTAAAAGGCTGGGGAGAGGCAACTTTCACAAGCACCTGATAAACTCATTCCCTTATATTTATACAGCACTTTCACATGCATAATCTCATTGAATTTTCACAACAACCTTGATCGGAATCTACATTTTCCAACTACTTCCTCTCCAAACTAGACCAAACTAAGTCCAGGTAATAAAATCAAAGCTCAAATTCCAACAAAGATTTAAGCTCAAGATATTCAATCCTGGAAACTTTGGTTAGCTCTTTGAAAATGATGATTTAGGGGCAAGGAATAACCTCACTGCTATTGACTTTTATTGTTATGGATTAAAACCCAACCAAAGAAAGCTATCTGTTAGAATCTGTTGTTGCAAGATTATAAAATCCAACATTTAACCTACCTTCTCTTTGAGAAGCTCGAGACATGTGTTTCTCAGAAAGTGAATTAGAATCACTAGGATGACAAGGTGAGCCAGAAACTCTAGGACCAGACGAACTTGACGAAGTGGTCAAATCTTGAAAATACAGAAAGTTCTGAGATAAACCTAGCATAATTCACATAGTGTCTCTTAACTTTTTAACTATCTACTTGAACGATACTTTTAAAATCTGCCTGAATCATGGTAAGTACACGCCCACATAAAACTCACCTATAATTATGACTGAGGAAGACAAAACTCTTTGAGATGTTCTAAGACCAAGTCCTTTTCTAAAATCTTTTATACCAAAGATTTACTTATGTGAAAGAAAAATTAAAAACAAAAATATAAGAGCATCTTTGGTTCCCCATCATTTCTGTAGTGAAATGGAACAAGGAAATTCAATGAAAATGAAAACTGAGCTGTCTGGCCTATTGCTTAATGTTAGGATAGGGTCCAAACAACAGGCTCATTACTGGGAACATGAATAGATCCCTTCTAAAGCATACTAAAAACTTATCATTCTTGAAATTCTGTGAATACTACCTTTGAAATTTGTACAAAAATAAAATGAGTATCAGATAGTTTAGTCTGATATAATACTCCAAATAGCAATCTCCATTTCATGACACTTTTCTAATGACCCCATACATCTGTGGAGAATTATTAATTACCCTTAGAAGACAGAAAAGTTTTGTTTTTGAGTCAAAAAGGGCTAAACCGGCCTTTTAAATAACTATTTCTCACTAAGCTAAAGTTGATTATCAGTGTTTAATCTTAAAAAAAAAAGGCAATTCTGAGTCTAAAAGAATTGCACTCACATATTTATGAAATCACTTGCTTGCAAACAAGTTGGTAAAACTAAGTTTCTACTTTTAGCAGTAAAAGCGGGCAACTGTAGTGCACTTATGCCCAATGGAGTCTTCAGGAGTGGCCCTCTGCACACAGGAGAAAGATTATTATCCAACCATTTGAGGCTGCCTTTTAATAGCAATTTATGAACATTCATAATGTTTAAATCTTTTTTTCTGGATTTTTGTTCATCATCACAATATTATAAATGATGAGAATGTTCCCAGACCAGCCCTCTTTATCCCAAAGGTAGATAAAATATGGTCTGTTTATCACATAACATAAATCAAATACAGTATTAAGTTCTTCTAAGCTTCAAGTTCACGTAAGTCTAATAGAATCAGCAACAGAAGAAGGAGTTAGCAAGAGGACAGTTAAGGGGTCATGAGATAATATGGTGTCACCTGTGTCTGGACATCTGGAAGTCTAGGATACAATATAGACTTAAAACTAAGTATTTTTATATTAACCACAACTTAAAAGCCCTGCTGGATTCCAGAAAGGCTTAAGAAGATTGATACTATTGATACTATCACTAATTTTGGGGGTAGTGATGATTTCAGAAGTACTGATGAAAATTCTCTGGTTACAGAGAGCTAAAAGAAAATACTTTTAGAGTTAGCAGTTCTTCCCAGACCATTTGTGATGCAGAGGCACAAATTAATGTTATGTCAGAGATACATACAGATCATTGTACTTCTTTGGAAAAGAGTTATCACTGAGTTTTCCAAAGAAAGTCTTTTGATTTCCTTCCCTTCTTCCCTCTGTCATTCTCAGAATTGAAATATATACCATCCCTATGTGTGAGATTCTTAAGGAAACTCTTTTTTAATCAAGGAAAGCTTACCTGAACTTGATGTAGTTCTTCTTGCTCTCAAAATGGGATAGCTGCCTACTTCTAAAGACTTGGTTAAGTCAAGATCATGCAAAATCAAGAGATATCCAGAGGAAGTTGAGATCAACATTTTGGAACAATCTGGTGTTAATCTCATTCTCATGAGAAAACGTGTGTGAAAGAATTTCTTATGTGGACACCCATCTTCTGTACACCTACAGAAGAAATCAAACCAATAAAAACTAGAATCATAAATATAATGGTTCAGTGATAGTCATATATTTTATTTACCCCTTAAACTAAAATTTACAATGTATATTTATACACATAACATTTTTTTTGCTCACTATTCCTTCTGTCATCTCCAACCTTCCTTTTTAGGCCGTTCTCTTTCTTCCTGAAGTACATCCCTCAGAATGTCTTTAAGTAAGACTTTGTTGAGGTAATCTTTTTTATTGTTCTGAAAATGTCTTTATTATGAATACTAGTTTAGCTGAGTATATAACTTTAGGTTGACAGATATTTCTTTCTGCACATTGAGGATAATATTCCACTGATTTCTGGCTTCCATTGTTGCTATTTGTTAAGTCTTCTATTAGTCTAAAATTACTTTGAATAATTTATCTGTCTATTCATCTGGTGGTTTTAAGATCATCCCTGTCTTTGGAGTGGGGCAGTTTCACTCTGATATGTGTAATTTTAGATTTCTGTTTATTTATTTTTATTGGGATTCACTTTCTAAACTGTAAGATTCATGTTATTCATATATTCTGGAAAATTCTCAGCCATTATTCCAATATTGTCTATTATCCATTTTTTGTATTCTCTTTTTGGAGCTCCAAATGGATGTTTGAGACATTCACAATTGACCCTCCTTGTCTCATAACTGCTCTTTAAAGTTTTCTATCTCCGCATCTCCATATGTTATATTCTGGGTAATTCTTCAGTATGTATCTTCCATCTGTTATATCTTCTCAGTTGTGTCTAACCTATTTGACCTGTCCTGTGCTTTTAAAATTTCCATAGTTGTATTTTCTTTTACTTATTTAAGTTCTATTTGGTTCTTTTCAAAATCTGCAATAGATTTTATTCCTTGCCTATGTTTTTTATGCCCCCTTTTATTTCCTTTTTTGGTAATTATTTTTAAAAATGTGAACCATACCATACCTGCAGAATAGTACATAAGTAAAACACATGAAGAGCTTAACCCTTTAACGAATCAATTATTTTCTGCTTTGAATTTTTTGTTGATACCATGTGTTTTCATTAATGGAAGCATGCTGATGCTGAATCATTGAATGTGTCTGAATTTTTCGGAGGTAGCATGGATATTTTTTTCTTGCCCCCTCCCACAAGCCTACCCTAAGTGTTTAGTGAACATATGAAGTACCACTAATTATACCCGAGCGTCCCCACCGGGATCTATTGGTGCAACAATTAAAACTTGTCAAAATTTCTATTTCTCCTACCAAAAATTCAGACACTATACAATACCCTGTAAAATACTCTGTAAAAACAGTAATTCGCACCACATGCCTGTTTCTTCAGTTTCAGTCATAAAAGTCCCTGCTTTGTGGCAGCACACACTGTCAGTGGTGCAGCAGCTTCCCCATAAACCTTCAGAGGCAGAAAAAGTACTTGGTCCCTAGAGGTACCCGTGAACACAAAAGGGTTAAAGAAAAACACTTGTGACTCATCATCCATGTTAAGTAGTAGAATAACAGTATTTTAGAAATCCCCTCTATTTCTCTTCTCTATTGCATTCTACTCTTGCTTCCAGCAACAATGTCTACTACATCCAAAGATATTAGTGACTCTGTTTGTATAAGTCTCTCTATTAGAAACTTTTCTCAAATGTTTATCTTTGGCTGCCTGCCCATGAATAAGATTGGGGAACTAAAAAGCTGACTGGGAACTCTGAGTGCATGGGTAGGGCTCAAGGTCCACTACTGTATAGGGTTTTCTAGGTGGACCATTTTTTGAGGGACTTCTAACATCAGTACCTTTGGATCGTCAATTGGATGAAGGCTGAGGATCTCTGAATTTAATATTGAGTATGTATACAGTCACTTCATCTCCCAGATTTTGCTAAGGTACCAAAGCCTCCAACTGTACCTGGCATCCTTATACAGAGATTCTCTATTTTACCCTCTTTAGGGAATAAAATTCCAAACTTCTGCTGAAATGGGAAGAGGTCAATTATCCAGTAGACTGGCTTAAAAGAGGAGACATAAGTTCTTAGATACCTTTCACCTGAATCCTTACTTTTACTACTGATACCCAGAGTTGCCAGTTTCTATGATTTTTGAGGATTCTGTGTAAATTGTCTTAAATTCTTAAATTTTCCCCACTGCAAGATTGGGATCCTGTCTTGGACTTGCTAAGTCAAGTTATCTAAATCAATTGCCACTCATCTATCTGCTTTTCAGCTTCTAAAATTTTCTTCTTCCTCTTACTTCCCTGTGAGTTTACACTCTTTACTTAAAAATTCCCTTACTGTAGTTTTAGAGGCGTCTTCTCAACCATGCTGTCCTCATTAGTACAGTGGTGAATATCCTCACCTGTCACCTGGGAGATTGGGGTTCGATTTGCTGACAGGGAGGCAGATGCCCTTTTTTGGAGCCCTGGTAGCTCAGTGGTTATGAGCTATGGTGAGCTACGGCTGCTAACCAAAAGGTTGGCAGTTCAAATCCACCAGCTGCTCCTTGGAAACCCTATGGGGCACTTTTACTCTGTTCTATACGGTCGCTATGAGTCTCAATCGACTCAACAGCCAACGGTTTGGTTTTTTGGTTTCTCATCCATAGATTTTATTTAGGTCTTCTAAAAATTTTTTGGCTATTAAAAATGATATACTTTTAAAAATTACCTTTTGAAGTTGTTTGTTGTGATGTCCAGGAGCACTATTTTTATATTTTGATCTTATATATAGCAATCTTGTTTAACTCTTCATTAAGTCTGATAACTTGTCTGAAAATTTCCCAGGATTTTCTATATGGACCAGGGGTTGGCAAACTATGGCCTGTGGGCCAAATCTGGTCCACTTCATATTTTTATAAAGAAAGTTTTATTGGAACACAGCCACATCCATTCATTTATGTATTGTCTATAGATGATCAGAGACTATACACGCAAAGTCCTACTACATGGGCCTGTACACAAAGTTTGCTGACTCCTGATATACCGAGTATATATATATATATATATATATATATATATATATATATATATAGTCTTTGTGTGGACATATGTGTTCATTTCTTCTGGGCATATACTTAGAAGTGAAATTGCTAGGTCATATGGCAACTCTATGTTTAACATTTTAAGAAACTGCTACTATTGTTTTCATATCATTTGTCAGTGATGAATTTTTCTCCTTCTTAATCTTTATATATTTTCTTTTTCTTCCTTTTATTGTACCAACTAGGACCCGACTTCATCCCCAAACAAAACATAAGTGAATAGTAGTAATGGGGGCATGTTCTACTTTCTTGATTTTATGGAGAAAACTACTAAAGGTTCACCATTTTTAAATGTGCTGCAGGTTTTAGGTGTATACTTTTTATGAGTTTCCTTCTATTTCCAGTTAATTAAATTTTTAACAGGTTTATTGAGATATAATTTACATCCCATAAAATTCACTTATTTTAAGTGCACAATTAAATGATTTTTAGCGAAGGTTGTGTAATCATCAACACAATCCAATTTTAGAACATTTCATCACTCTAAAAGATCCCTTGTGTCCATTAGCAGTCACTCTCTATTCCTACCTTAAGTCCCAGGCAAAAACTTATTTACTTTCTATCTCTGTGGATTTGCCTTTTTTGGATATTTATTTCATACAAACCAAATCATAGGGTAAGTTGTCTTTTGCATTTGGTTTTTTCTACTTAGCATGTTTTTGAGGTTCATCCATGTTATAGCATATATCAATACCTTCTTTTTATTGCCAAATAGTAGTACTCCATTGTGTAAATATACTATATTTTGTTTATCCATTCACCAGTTGATGGATATTTGGATTGGTTCCATTTTTTGGCTATAATAAGTAATGCTACTATAAACATTCATGCACAAGTCTTTGTATAGACATATGTGTTCATTTCTCAATTGCTAGGTCATATGGTAACTCTCTAACATTTTAATAAACTGCTAAACTGTTTTCTAAAGTGGCTGTACCATTTTACATTTCACCAAAAATATGAGTTCCAGTTTCTCCACATTCTTGCTAATAAATGTTATTGTCTATCTTTTTTTTATTAAAACTATTCTAGTGGGTGTGACCTCGGATCTCATTGTGGTTTTGATTTCTATTTCCGTAATGACTAGTGATGTGGAGCATACTGTCATGTGTTTTTTGGTCATTTGTATTGTCTTTGTTGGTGAAATGTCTATTCAAATCTTTTGCCCGTCTTTTATTTGTTTACTTATAATTGAGTTGTAAGAGTTCTTTATATATTCTAGATACAAGTCCCTTATCAGATATGATTTACAAATATTTTCTCCCAGTATGTAGCTTTGCTTTTCACTTAATAGAATCTTTTGAAGTGAAAAAGCTTTTAATTCTAATGAAGTCCAGTTTATCAATTTTTTCTTTTACCACTTGTGCTTTTGGTGTTGTATCTAAGAAATCTTTGCCTAACCCAAGGTCAAGATTTACTCCTATGTTTTCTTTGAATAATTATAGTTTTACCTCTTATACTTAGGTCAAAATCCATTTTGAGTTAATTTTATGTGTGATGTGAAACAAGAGCCTAAATTAATCTTTTTGCATACGTATATCCAATTGTCCAAGCACCATTTGTTGATAAAGACTATCTTTTCCCGACTGAATTATCTTGCTACCTTTGTGGAAAACTAGCTATCCATAAATGTAAGGGTATATTTCTAGATTCTCAATTTTGTTCCATCAATTTATATGCCTATCTTTATGCCAGTACCACACTGACGTAATTACTATGTCTTTGTAACATGTTTTAAAGTGGGAAGTATGAGTCCTCCAACATTGTTCTGTCTCAAGATTGTCCTTTGCATTTCCATATACATTTTAGAATCAGCTTGACAGTTTCTGCAAAAAAAAATGCAGCTTGAATATTGGTAGGGATTGTGTTAAATCTGTAGATTAGTTTGGAGAGAACTGCCATCTTAATAACAGTGAATATTCTAATTCATGTACATAGAATGTGTCTGTTATATAAATGAGCAAAGACAGACTGGGTTATTTTCTTCATAGCAAGCTGGGACCTGTTAGCTCAAAATTTGCTGGCACCAAATGCATATTTTTATACACCCAGTTGTTTTACATATAGTCCAAATAAGGAAATTTGTAGCCATTTAGTGCCTGCCTGGTTTCCATATCTGTGAATCTGCACCCAACATTAGTTAGCCGTAAGTAAGATAAACTCTAGTCTATAAAAGACCGCAGGCCACTGCTGCCCTTCGTACTTGTCTGATACAGAAACTCCCCACTGTGTTGCTGAACCACATCACCTAGACATGTAAGTCCCCTCTTCAACTCCCCTCTCCCCAAAAGCTCCCTTGCCGTTTCAGCCTCCTGAGTGTCCCCCCCAGCCCTTGTCTTTGGAACATTTCATGCTATTAGGGGCTTCCCCCTTATGCAAACCTGTCATAGAGCCTGCCCCCATAAATAGCTTATTTTACAACACTGTCACCTCATGGCCATATCTTTTTCCTTGATCAACCCCCAAATCCCTTGAGCTCACAAGTCATTTCATCCATTTACATTTTCTTATATTTCTTTCAGCAATGTTACATAGTTTTCAGTGTATAAATCTTGTATTTCTTTTGTTAAATGTATTCATAAGTACTGTACTTTATTCTTCTTGATACTACTGCAAATGGAACTATTTTCTTAATTCACTTTTGGATTGTTAATTGCAAAGAAACAGATATACAACTGACTTTGGTATATTAATCTTATATCGTGTGACCTTGCTGAACTTATTAGTTCTACTACGGCTTGTGTGTGCGTGTATGTGTGCGTGTGTGTGTGTTTCTTAAGATTTTCTACATACAGGATCATGTCTTCTGCATATAAAGAAGACAGTTTCTTTCTGGATGCTTTTTATTTCATTTTCTTGCCTGATTGCACCTCTACTACAATGTTGTACCTTCAGTACAATATTGAATATAAGTGGTTATAGTAGACATCCTTGCTTTGTTCCCAATCTTAGGGAGAATGTATTTTTTCTTTCAACATTAAGTATCATCTTAGCTGTAGGTTTTTCATAGATGACTTTTATCAGGTTGAAGAAGTTCTCTTTTATTCCTAGTTTTATCATGAAAGAGTGTTGGAGTTGGTCAAGCGCTTTTCTGAATATACTGAGATGATCATGTAGAGTTTCTCCTTTATTAGTATGATGTATTAATTGATTTTGGGATGTTAAGCCAAACCTGCATTCCTTGGATAAATTCCACTTGGTCATGGCCTATAATCTTTTACATATATTGCTATATTTGGCTTGCTAATATTTTGTTAAGGGAGCCCTGGTGGTGAATGGTTAAGCACTCAGCTGCTAACCAAAAGGTCTGTAGCTCAAACTTACCAGCCACTCTGTGGGAGAAAAGACCTGGCGATCTGCTCCCATCAAGATTACAGCCTAGGAAATACTACAGGACAGTTCTACTCTGTCCTATAGGTTGCTGTGAGTCAGAATCGACTCGACTGCACACAACAACAAACATTTTGTTGAGGATTTTTGCATCTGTATTCACGAGGTTGTAATTTTCTTTTGTTACTATATCTTTGTCTGGCTTTGGTATCAGTAATACTAACCTCACAGAAGGAGCTGGAAGTGTTCTCTCCTTTGTTTTCTGAGAGAATCTGTGAAGGACTGGTATTATTTATTCTGTCTATGTTTGGTAGAATTCACCAGTAAAGCCATCTGGGCCTGGACTTTTCATTGTGGGAAGATTTTTAAATTACCAATTCAATTTCTTTAGTTGCTATAGATCTGTAGGTCTATAGATTTTCCATTTACTCTTGAGTTAGTTTCAATAATCAGTGTCTCTCTAGGTATTTGTTTATCTACATTGTCTAATTTGTTGGCATAAAATTATTCATAGTATTCCCTATAATCCTTTTAATTTCTATAAGGTTGGTAATAATGTCCTTGCTTTTGTTTATTTTTAATCATGACTGTTTAATTTTATTCAATGCTTTTTATCCTTCAATTTAAACTTCATATGGATTTATCCATTTAATGTTAATGTAATCAATTATATTAATAGTTTTTTTGATAAACCATCTTTTCATTCCTTGAATAAATCCAACTTGATCATAAGATTTTGATTAATATCTTGCAGGATTCAATTTCCTAATATTTTCTTTAGAATATTTGCATCTATATTCATATTACAGACTGGCCTTTCATTTTTTTCTCCTAATATTCTCTTCGTTAAGTTTAGGTAGCAAGGTCATAATTAGCTTCGACAGCACTATCGTCTCAAACAATAAGCATAGCTAGAAATCTTTAACTAAGAATATCCCCTCTCTTTTTACATACAACTTCTGAAAAGAATCTTTCAGGACTGATCCTGGTGTATTACTATGTATTATTTCATCATAACTAGAAACAAGTATATTTTGATTATTTCTCAAACTTCAGCTCTTTAAATAATCACTTTCTCTATAAGGACGTATTTTATTGAAATGTTTCTCAACAGAGGTATCACTGGCATTTCAGGTGGGATGATTAGTTCACTGTGCAAACTGTCTTGTGCATTCCAAAATGTTTAGAAATTCTGGTCCCTGCCCACTAAATGCCAGGAGACATCCTCCTCTCTCCCCTCTTTATTGTGACAACTAAAATTCCCCACACATTTATTTCCAAACATCCCCTAGGGATCAGTACCACCCCAATTGAGAACTACTCTTTTAATGCTTGAAAACAAAGTACAAAACTTAAAAATAAATAGATTGAGAAGTAAAGACCAAAGAGTGAAAAACATTTCAGTTTCAAGAAGGAAATAACAAAGATATTTTTCATTAAATCCCTTAAATTCAGGAAATTCATTTTATAAACCAGTTTTCATCATTAAGCATACTACTTGGTCTCTTTTCCATCCATAATTGTCTCCAAATTTTTTATCAGCAGAATACGAATAAGTGTAAGTAACAAAAGATGGAATAACTCTTCAATTGTTATTCCCAACACCAATTTCTTTCACCTAAAAAGATATGAAGGCTAGGAGAGAACACAGAATTTGTTCACCCTCTTTAAGTCAATTTTTTTGTTCATAACGCTAACTTGATCTCCTGTTCACAAACCTGTTAGTGTCCCAAATAATGACATTTCCATCAAATCCTGATGTTACTAAGAGTCTTGTATTAGTATCATATTCGATGTTCTTCACCCAGCTAGTGTGACCATGTAAAGTGCATACTTTGGTGTTCAATTTTCTCAGATCCCACAGTGCTATGGTAGTGTCATCAGAGCAGGTAGCAAACAGCCGGTTATCAAGAAATCTACAAAAGGAAAAAAGAAAAACTGATTCACTTAATCTCTTATTAAATAAAACCTGATTTGAGAAATAGTCTCTAAATTGCCTAATCAAGAAAACAAAAAAGAAAAAACTACTACAAACTGACTATATATACCCAGTGATTCTGATATACAATAAAGAGTAAACATAATTCACATAATCACAGGGTACCATGATTTAATGAGGGGCACAATGCAATTTGATTCATTTGCTTTACATTATTGATTTTTATTTGGAACTGGAAACGGGTAGGTACACAGAGAACACTGCTAGAGGGAAAGAAAAGAGCTTTATAATCTGTATAGAAAACACAAACAGTGAGAGATAACTGAATAGGAAATAGAGGAGACTTTGAAGATTTGAATGCTGAGGGGGAAATGTTAAGTGTAAAGGGTTCAAAATTATAGAAATGTTTACTCTGCTACAAGTGATATATTTTTCTATTTAGAACACATTTCATACAAAGATTGCTATTCAAATTGCTATTATTTTGTAGCTATTAATCCTAGGGGTACTACCGAAATAATCTCACTTAGCAACATTTTATTAGGACCAGTCAAGATTATGCAATGTACTCAATTAAATACTCTATAATTCAGACTTTATTTTATATTAATCTCTCAATCCTGTGAAGGAGCCCCAAAAATCTAGGTGATTGGCATAAGGAGAGGCATCTGCCAAAGATGTAGGCCAGACTCAATTTTTATTGTTTATTGCTTATTCTGAGCTGAATCTTAAGTCAGCTAGCCAGAATACTTCCGGAAGCCTTTGGGCTGAGCTCCCCTCCCCTCCCTTCCTCTCACAGCGTGCTCCCAGGAAGAATACTTACTCTGGCTGACCCCCAAAATATCCATAGATTAACAAAATGTTAACTGACTAAAGCTTTATGATTACTAAAACAATGCTTAAGGGATCTCGTAATTGTCTCGTGTCTGTTATGTTAAAATTCCTCTTTCCAGAGCACTTTGGTGAATTCTCACTAAGTGCTGCCTGATCCAGACTGCTTTATTACTTCAATAAAACTTCTAATTTTAACAGACACTTCAGTTTGCTGTTTGACAATCCTAAGTGAGAATATATTTATACAAACACTTAAAAAATAACAAACCTAACATTCACACTTGAATTTCTGTCTGATTCAACACTAGAATGCTTTTGCTAACGTATGTTATATATAACTTTAATCTCTTGCAGAAGATGTGAATTCTGGAGCCAATTCTATGATAAGATCACACATAATTTTTTTTCCATCAGAAATCAACCCAATATCCACAGACATTATAATGACCTTCCTGACTTATTATGGACTTAACTTTCCAGGCCTTTGTACGGTTGTTTCTTCTACCTGAAGCCCTCTTCCCCCTGCCCTGTGATCTGGCTAATTCTTGCTTTCTTCTTAATATTCAGCTCAGATGTCAACTCCAGGCAGCCTTCACTCGCTATCCAGCTTGGAGTAGATTTACCAATCCTCCAAGCTCCCAAAGAACTCTACATTTCTATCATAACACTTAACATTACTGTGTAAGGAATAACTTTAAAAGGCTATAAACTCTTTGAAGGGAGGGGAATCTGTCTGCCTAGTCTGAGGTTAGATCTGCAGTACCCAGAACAGTGCCTGGCACATAATATACACTCAACAAATACTTACTAAATGAATGAATGAGATAGTTCATAGCCTAGTGGAGGAGACATTGTAAATACATAATTACACAAAATAATTGTGTGAGATAAGCAAAGAAAAAAGCATGGTTAGAAAAGACTCTATGGTAGTGTCATTTGAACTGACTTTAAAACACAAGCAGGAACTTCTGAAGTGGCCAAGGGATAAGCAAAGGTACAGAGGCATGTACAGGCATGCTGTATTCTGAGAAATAGTAGCAGTTAGCAGTGCTGTGTGTGGGAAAGTAGAGACATTTATTCTACGGTGATTCCCAATAACTTTTTAAATTATATAATACATTTTCATTGAACAGATTTTTAAATAAATAAAAAAATCCACCACTAAAAATAACCACTGGTATTGATGTTTAGTCTAATTTCTGTATTTTAAACCTAGTATTATCTCATAAATATTTTGCCATATCATTAAAGATTTATCTGCAATATCATTTTTAATGGCTGAATAGTACTCATTGCATGGATGAGCTGTAATCTTTTTTCTTTTTTAGAATAATGCATAATTGTTGGACATTCAGCTTGCTTCCAATTTTTTGCTATTATTAAAAAACACTAAGACGAACATCCTTACAGGTAAATATTGACCACATCCCTATTTATTTCCCTAAGTATAGTCCTAGAAAAATGTACTGCTAGGTAAAAAAGGATTTTAAAAGTTACAAGGCTTTTAATACATATAACCAAATTGTCCTCCAAAAGGACATATCAATATATAATTTTAGCAGCAGTTAGGAGTGTCCATTTCCCCAAACCATTCCATACAGATTTTTTTAAAAAATTTCTGCCAAGTGTTAGGAAAAAAATATCATCTAAGTTGAAACTTTTATTTTTAGTAAAGCTGAACTTTTTTTTTCACAATTATTGGTAGTTTTTTTTTGTGAATTGCTGTTCACGTCCTTTACTGATTTTATTTTATTGAGTTGTAAGATGTCCTTCTGTACTAAGGATATTATATCTCAGTTTTTCGAATACACTATGTTGCATATATTTTCCCCCAATATTTCTGTCTTTCATTGTGGTTTACAGATTTTTCTACTATATCAAAAATTTAATTCTTATATTGTCAATTTTATTTCTCCCTTATAACATGTTTTAATACCAAAAATATAGAGAGAATAATCGTGGAATAAAAATTAATGGTTTTAAATTAAGTAAGTTTAGTGAAAAAGTCAATATTTTGACTTTGGTTTTTTCATTTTGCCTCAAAGTACTGCCTGTTAAAAATTTTGGTATTGGAGAACCACTGGTAAAGAAAGTAGATAAATTTTTAAAAAATTAAGAATACACACTATATGAGTTAAATCACCTATGACAATTTTTATCTGAAAGTAAGCAGACAGAAAGAATGTGAAGTATTAGACAAGCCTTTGAAGATCTAGGGCAACCATCTCAAATTAAAACTCAATCTAGCCTAATAAGTTAATAATTATAAAATACTGATAAACCCACAGACTTTAATAAACAGGAGACACTCCTTCACACATACTGAAATCTTTCCAAATGTCCCCATCAAACCTCAACTTATGACTACAACAGTTGTGGATAAATTGACATCTGGATTAATTGATAAATTATCAGAGGATAATTGGTAAAGGATAAAAGCAATTGAAAGCGAATTCTCTTAAAACGTGTACCAACATTTCATCGTACAAATGAAAGTGTTAAGTCTTTATTTTAAAAAAAAAAAAAAGTAAAAATCACAAAAATAATTTTTTTTATTTATTTAACTATATGCAAATTCTTAGAGCAAGAATGAATCAAATATTTCTTTATATTTTGCATAAATTTAACAATGAAATTAAAATAGCAGAAATATGACATCCTTACTTCACATTTGTATTCTGTACTACAATAAAGAAAAAAAAGGGTTACTTCCGTATAAATATGCAAGGGCTTCATTAACTCTCCTAAGGGCCTTCCGTAGTCCTCTGAGATATTCAAATAATTCTTTTTTAAGTACCTAGCTTATCATCATTTCTGTCATTTTCTTTTCTCTAATTGGTAACTACTCTGACTCTGTCAGATTCTCATTTGTCAATGATTTTATATGAATTTGACCAGTTCTCTAGCATCACTTTCAGAATTTTGTAAAATTTTACATTCTTTGCAAAAGAAATTTCGTGTTCCCACTGATAAGCACCGCATTTGCATTATATTCTTTGAAATGTAACAGTCAGCAAGAGACCAACAAAGACAGTGGGAGGAAAAAATAAATCCTGGGATATTTAATAGGTACTGATTTTTAAAGGGTCTTATCATTAAGTAAATATTCTTATGTTATGATGGCCTCAAGGTCATCATAACTGGCAACCTCATAATTGGAGGGACTTGGATATTAACTGGACTCTTAAATCCACATCATCCTGAATGAAAAGTAAACCTGTGCAATGTGCTTAAGAAATTAGACTTTTCTCCTGACTTTCCTAAAGTATGAAGCAAGAGAAAATATTCTCCACAACTATCAACGTTTTATTTCACAAGATAAGCAAACCACAAAATTAAGAAATGAACTAGAAAACATTACCAAATAAGTACAAAACAACTATCTAGAACAAAACCCGGAAATGCACGTCTACATCTCTAAACTCAACAGTGAGGTAATCTCATGGGACTGAGTATGAATTCTAGCTCAATCATTTATTAGACATAAGACCTTGGGCAAGTTTCTTGATCTGAGTTGCAGTTTCTTCATTCTTTAAAAGGGGTACAATATCTGTCTTACATAGGGGTACTGTGAGGATTAAACAATATAAGATGAAAAGTGCTTCACAGGAGGTCTGGCTCATGGTAAGCACTCAAAAAATGGAATTTAGTATTTTTATTAAGAAGCCCTGGTGGCACAGTGGTTAAGAGCTTGGCTGCTAACCAAAAGGTTGGCAGTTCGAATCTACCAGCCACTCCTTAGAAACCTATGGGGCAGTTCTACTCCGTCCTATAGGGTCACTATGAGTTGGAATCACCTCGATGGCAATGGATTTGGTTTTGGGTTTTGGTTCATTATTATTAAGTAATGTACACTGAAGTTCATGTACTAGAGGACCCCTCAGATCCTCACTCAAAACTCTTAAGTTACATGTACTACTAAATAAGCTTCAAAATCTGTTTTACTAACCAGCAGATCAGAAGAAGCAGATTCAAATTTATAGGTGCGGGGTGCTATAGCAGGTACACTGATAACAGCAAATGAGAGTTGACATAGACAACATAAATTCTAACAGCAGATTAGTAAAAATTCATTTTGAGTAGGGGCAAACAACTCAAGGCTTTTCTTTGTGAGGTAATTTTTTAAATTGTAAAACATTTGAAACACACAGATTATGAAGAATGTAACAAACACCTGTGATAGCTCCACCCAGCTTGATTAAATTTTAACATTTTATCTTTTAGATTTTTATTGTACATAACAAAAATATATCCTGTATACCCCTCCCCAATCCATTCACCTCTCTCCCTCCCTCTCTCTCCAGAGGGAACCACTATGCAAAACTTGTTGTCATTCACCATGAAAGTTTTTAATCACCATGAATTCATATGTACATATTCATAAACAATTTATAATATTACTTTGCATACAATTTATTCAGTAAATATTTAATGAGCACCCACTATATGCAAGGCATTGTTCTAGGTGCTACAGACAGAGCAGGGAACAAAACAGGCATAAATACCTGCCCTCATCAAGCTTATATTTGTATGTTTTCAAGTTTTATATAAATGGTATTACACTGTACAGATCATTCTACAATTTGCTTTTCTGACTCAACCTTAAATTCTGAGATGTACCTCAGATGCTGATGTTTCTAGTTCATTTATTTTAACAAATATACTGTATTCCATTGTATAAGTATACCACAATTTATTTATCTGTTTTCCTCTTGATGGACATTCAAGTTGTTTCCAACTTCTCCCTATTACTAACAATGCTGTAATGAACATTTAATTTATACATCTCCTTGTTCACGTGTACATTAATTTCTTTAAAAATATGTTGGTCTTCAACTTTAGCAGATACTGCTAAATTGTTCTTCAAAATAATTTTACCAATTTATATGCCATCAATAATATCAAAGAGTTCCTATTTCTCAATACTTTTTCCAATACTTATTATTTCTTCATTGTTATTTTTAATTGCAATTCCATGATAACTAGTAAGGTTGAAAGTATTTATTGTTCACTGTAGTTTCTCTCATGTGATTCTTTGCCTATTTTGCTATGTTGTTGTTGTTGTTGTTAGGTGCCGTCAAGTTGGTTCTGACTCATAGAGACCCTGCAGGACAGAGTAGAACTGCCCTATAGGGTTTCCAAGGAGCAGCTGGTGGATTTGAACTGCCGACCTTTCGGTTAGCAGCTGAACTCTTAACCACTACATCACCAGGGCTCCATTTTGCTATAGGGCTCTTATATACTCTGGATACTAATCCTTTCTTGGTTATGTGCACTGAAAATATCTTCTCTCACTAGCCTATAGCTTAACTTTTCACACTGTTATGATGTCTTTGGTTACATTAAAATTTTAAATTTTATTGCAGCTGAATTTATCAATCCTTAATGGTTCATGTTTTATGTATCTTAAAGAAAGCCTTTCTCACTCTCAGAACACAAATATATTCTATATTTTCTTCTAAAGGTTTAGAAGCTTTAGAGGTTTGCTATCATAATTAGGTCTTTAATCTAGCTAGGAGTTCAATTATGGTATGATGTAGAGATCTGTATTTTATTTTTCCATATATATAACAAATTCTCTTTTCCATTTATTGAATAGCTGATCCTTTCCCTACTGATTTGTAATGCCACTGCTGCCATATATTAAATTTTCATATATGCATGAGCCTGTTACTGGGAGCTCTATTCCATTTCATTGGCCACTTAATCTATCCATCCCAAGACTACAATTGATACCTGGAGGGGTAAGTACTCCCACCATATTAATCTTCCTTTCAAAATTGTCTCAGCTATTCTTGGTACTCTGCTATCCAATATGAATTTTTAAATCAGCTTTTCAAGTTTTATAAGAAGCCCTGTTCGTAGTTTCATTAAAATGGCACTGAATGTATACTAATTTGGGGAGAATTGACCTCTTTGATGTAGAGCTTTTAAGATTTTCTCATTATCATGGATAGTCTAGCATATCACCACAACCTGTCTAGATGTGGATTTACCTTTACTTAACTTGGCTGACACTCTAGAATTCACTTTTGATTTGAGGACTCAGGTCCTTCTTTAATGCTAAAAACTCTCAGCCATTATGTCTCCCAGTTAATTCTTCATGTCTTTTAACTACCCTGTCCTATTTTTATCCTTTCTCAGCATTCTGGGTGAATTGTTGTTGTTGTCGTAAAATTATAGACAACATAAGGTTTGCTAATTTAACGTTTGTCATATATACAATTCAGTGAAATTAATTACATCAGTCATGTTGTACAACCATCACCAATATCCTCTGCCAAATTTTCCATCCCCATAAACAAAAACTCAATGTTTCCTAAGCAATAATTGCCCCCATTTCCCCTCTTTCTCAGGGGAAAAATTTTTAGTACTATCTTCCAACCCACTAATTCTCTCTTCAGTGGTGTAAAGGGTAAATCTATCCCATCTATATGTACTACATTTTTAATTTCCAAAAATTCTACTTTGTTCTTTTCCATATTAACCTGTTTTTGTTTCATCTCATTTCATAATTTTGAGCTCTCTTTAAATGGAAGTTATCCCTTAATTTATTTCTTTAGTCATCCTAAAAAATGTTTAAACGTCTCTTCCAATCAACAGAATACTATGGAGCCATTAAAAAGAATAAGATCATTCTATGTGAACAATCTCTAATATATTTTATTAAGTGAAAAAGGCAAAATAGTATGTGTATGATGCTACCATTTATATACGTGTGTGTGTGTATACTTGTACATGCATAAACTATCTCAGAAAGGATAGCAAGAAATTGATAACAGTGGTTGCCTTTGGGGAGGGGAACTGGGTGGCTAGGAGACAGAGGTGAGAGATAGACTTACTTTTCACTGTTTACCCTTTTGTATCTTTTGAATTTTGTACCACGTGCATGTATTACCTAGTCAAAAAAAAATAAATAAAATAATTTATTTTAAAAAATAAAGTCTTTGTTGGACTACTCCATAAAATTAATTTCATCCAGAGAAGGGGCCTGTTCTGGTTGTTGATTCTGTTATGACATGACTATTAGATTTCTTCACAAGTTTTGAGATTTTGGTTATAGCCTCATTTTGAGTAGAAAAGTTTTAAAACATTTTTTTTCTTCTCTCTTCCTGCTTAATGGTTTTATGGTTGCCTCCACACGGCCTTCTGGGCCTCCCACTCCAGAACAAGGCCTTATAATGACATTTCAGGACTCTGGTTTCATGATAATATTAGAGATATCACAGATTCAGTCACTGACTCAACGAGTGGCTTCATCTGGTCATGAGGCTATGTTTTTATCTGCTAAAACCTATAGCCCAGGTAGTGAATAGTTTTTATTTCTATTCAGCCTTTCACAAATGGGGCAGACATTCCAAACAGGCCTCTGGCTTCAACCAGTGACTCTGACTCTGGTTCCTGCCTCACATGAAGCACTTTAGTACTTTACCTGACAGGAGTTAAATTACTAGATGCCAGTGTATACATCCAGACTGAAAACCCAGTGGGTCTGTGGTTTCAGTCCTATTTATAATTTTGTGTCTGTGTTCCACTTCTGGTCCACAATGATGCTTATGTTGATTCAGAGCCAGGCTGTATCTTCCGTGTTATTTAATTAAATCTGTTGTTCTGTGTATTCAGAACATAAGGATTACATTAAAATTCAGTATGTCACTCTGACTAGGTGTAATTTCTACTTTTTTTAAATATTAAAATAATTATAAAAGTTATAGAATCACATTATAATATAAAATTTGGAAAGTAGAAAATTACTCATAATCCATCCATTCTAACTCAACTACTATTAGCATTTTTTGGTATTTCCTTCTAATTTTTTTCTTCTGCTTAATTTCATATTTATACAATTTTTATCACAATTCCAATCTATATTATTGCAAGCATTTGTCTATGTTGATATTTAGTCTCTATGAGCATCATTTTAATGACTGCCTATTAATCCACCAAGCTATTCAACTATTACTTACTTCCCACATTATTGAGAATTTATGGAGCTTCCAGCAATTTTATAAAGAACTTACTTGTGCATATGTGTTTCTTCCCATCAACAGTCTAGATTTTTAGGGGGGGGGTGGGGTGAGGGAAGGGGTATAAGAGATGCTAAGCAATGGGTCTGTCATAATTCTACACAGATCATTAGCCCAAAGATATGACGTGATTAGCATAATAAATGGTTGAGGTTCATAATGATGACCCTGACATTCAAAGAGAAAAGGTAAAATCATATGGAAGTGAAAAATGTATTTCAAAAATACTTCAATCCAAAAATGGTTAATAGTGAGTTTTGTTAATTAAAAGGACACATTTAACAAGGGATAGGATTCACAACTGTGGATCATCTAGCACTGATAGACAAGGCATTTCAAATTTTCAGTAACTCCCAAAGCAGAATATTTTGGGCCACACTAACAAAGTTTACTGTATTTTCACTATAATACTAACCTGATATTATTTACACAGTCTTCATGAGCTTCAGAAAGTGTTTTTATGTGCTTTGAAGATATAGGGTCAAAAAGCAGAACTTCAGTTTGTTCACAAGCAACTGTTAGCACTGACCTGAAATCAAATGACACATTTCTCTTTAGTTTTCTTGCATTTTCTGGTTATCGATATTCATCTATTTATAATCACGTAAGTAATAAATGAATAACTTTTTTGTCCATGTCAGTAGCAAATAATTAAAAGATTGATACTATCCACTGTTGGCAAGAGTAGTAGAAAATGGTACGCTCGTACATTATACCCAAAAACCAAACCCACTGCCATCTAGTCGATTCTGACTCATAGTGATCCTACAGGACAGAACAGAAACTGCCCCATAGGGTTTCCAAAGCTGTAAATCTTTACGAAAGCAGACTGTCACATCTTTTTCCCGAGGAGTAGCTGGTGGGTTCCAACTGCCGACCTTTTGGTTAGCAGCCATAGGACACCATAGCTCTTAACCACTATGCAACCAGGGCTCCCTTCATACATTATGTTGAAGTGTAAATTGGTACAGATTATCTTTGGAGGGCATCTTTGAAGTATCTCTCAAAATTTTAAAAGTGCATACCTCAATATTTCTTCTGCAAATTTAATCTACAGAAATAATCGCTTAAAATCACAAATAAGCATATATATATAAAAGCATATGCTTCACTGGAAGAAGGAAAAATTGAAACTAACCTAAATGTACACAAAAGGGGGGAAAGATTGATCATATAGGCTATGGTACACTCATACTTTGGAATATCATGCAGTAGTTAAAAAGAAAGGGGTAGCTTTATATGCATATGAAAGAACTCCAAAACATATTTTTAAATGAGAAAAGCTAGCTGCAGAAAAAGACGACACTACTCAGAGAAAAAAAAATCATATACAACAAAATAATGTTATTTCTTTACCACCTTAAAAATGTACTGAAAAAGGTCTGGCACCTATCCTACCATACCAGTTTGATATAGCCTAATTTAATCTTTTCCTTTACGGTTTTTTAGTTTTCTCTTGTTTCAGGCTTTGCCTAGTGAAAAGTTATTTTAATAAATATTTACACATTCAGAATCAACTTATAAAGTTAAATATACACATAAATTCAGTTGTTGAGACTGCATTAAATCTAAACAAAAGTTTGGACAGTATTGACATCTTTACAACATGCAATTTTCCAGTCCACAAACAGTGTATATCTCTATTTATTTTAGTCTTTTGTAATTCTCTCAATAAAGTTTTATAATTTTCTCCATATGGACAAAACTTATCTTCTGTTAGATTTATTCTTGGGTACTTTTTTTTTTTATGTTATCGTAAATGTCCTTTTTAAAATTTTGCTTTGTTTGTTGTGTACAGAAATACAACTGATTTTTTTTTATATTATCGATCAATCTTGCTATTTTAATAATTTATCTGCAGATTATTTTAGGTTTTGTTAACAATCATATCTACAAACAGTTGCTTTGTTCTTTTTTAGTTCTTTTTTTCCCTCCTTTTCTTCGCTGCACTAGCTAGGACTTTCAGTATAATGTCAAATAAAAATGTTGATAGCAGGCACTCGTCTTATTCCTGATCTTCAAGAAACTTTCAACATTTCACCATTAACTACAACATTTGCTGTAGGTTTTTTTGGTAGATACCTATTACTGGATTGGATTAGGAGCCCTGGTGGCTCAACAGTTAAGTGCTCGGCTGCTAACTGAAAGGTTGACAATTTGAAGCCACCTAGCCGCTCTGCAGGAGAAAGATCTGGCAATCTGTTCCCATAAAAATTACAGCCTTGAAAATCCTATGGGGCAGTTCTTCTCTACCACATGGAGTTACTATGAGTTGAAAATCAACTTGACAGCACTAACAATTATTATTGGATTAAGGAAGTGCTCGTCTATTCCAAGTTTGCTTTTTTCTTTTTTTAAATGAATATATATTAAACTGTATAAAACACTTCCTAGCATTTACTGAAGGAGCCCTGGCGGCACAATAGTTAAGAACTCAGCTGCTAACCAAAGGTCAGCGGTTGGAACCCACCAGCACTCCACGCGAGAAGAGACCTGGCGATCTGCTCCCATAAAGATTACAGCCTAGGAAACCCTATGGGGCAGTTCTACTCTATCCTATATGGTCACTACGAGTCAGAATTGATTTCACAGCAAACAACAACCGTATTTATTGAGATGATCCTATAACGTTTTCCTTTAATATGTTAATATAGCAATTTATATTAATTCTATTTCTTAAACTTTTAAAATTGAAGTATAAAATACATGAAGAAAACTACACAAATTCTAAGAGTATACAGCACAGTGAAATAGCCCAAAGGGAACACACGCATGTAACCATGATCTAGTAACTATTCAACCACTATGGACATATATCAATAGTTTAACAACCGGTACAACTGAACCAGTGTTTATAAGCTAAATACCCCTAAACGTGGTAGTCTACACATGCCCTTTTGAGCAAGATTTTAAGTGGAGTTGTTCCTATCTTGCGTATCTTTCTGATGTTTCTGTCTGCCTGATTAACTGACGTGCACTGAGATGTGTATTAAAAATCTTTGTTATGATAACAAAGTTATTAATTTTGATGTACACATTTTAAATCTAAAAGACTCATTCAAGTTCAGAACTGGTTTATCTTCCAGATGAATTGAGATTTTTACCATTATAAAGTGACCCTCTATCTCTAGTAAAGTTTTTTCCTTGAAGCCTATTTGTCTGATATTAATATGACTTACCAGCTTTCTTTTGTTGTTTGATATGTTTGTGTTTGATATACCTTTTCTCTTTTACTTTTTTCCCCTCTCACAATTTTTGTCTTTTAACTAGAACACTTAATACCTTTACATTTACTGTAATTAATAATATTTAGATTTATTTTCAGCCATTCTTTGTGCTTTCTATTTATTTCACCTTTTCTATTTCTTTTTTCCTTTCCCTCTTCTGGAATTTTTTCTCATTCTGTATTTTTTTCTCTACTAGGCCGGAAATTACATGTTTTTTCTTGTCTTTCAGTGGTTACCTTGGAAATTTTAATATGCATACTCAATTTATTAAAGCCTAAAGTTAATATACCATATTTCTCCTCTGAAAATCCAGGTATTTAGAACATCCCCTCATAATTTATATGCTATTGTCGTCTATCATAATTCCATTTTTGTTAATCTCACAAAACAGTATTAGATTTAGTTTCACACACATACCTACCACTTTCTTTGCTCTTTATTCCTTCTAGCATCTCAGACCTTCCATTTGAAAATGTGTTCCTTCTCTCTGAACTTAGAATTCCTTTATTGAAGGTCTGGTGGTAAACTCACTCAGCTTTACTAGTCTGAATATGTCTTTATTTCATCTTTGATCTTGAAAGGAACAAAGAAGCCATCTTTGCTGGGTATAGACATCTAGACTGACAGTTTTTCCTCCAGTATATTGAAAATAATTATCACTGTCTCCTTATTTACACTGTTATTGATGACAAATTGGCTGTCACTCTATCCTGTGAAGCTCTTTTTTCCCTAGCTGTTTTTAAAATCTTCTCTTCATATTTGCTGCTTGCAGTTTCATTCTATGTCTAGGGAGGATTCCTGCTTAGGTTTGTTTGTTCAGCTTCTTAAATCATGGCTTGGTGCCTTTCTTCAATTCTGGAAAGTTCTTGGCTATTATCTCTTCAAACAGTTTTTTCCCCATTATCTTTCTCATTTTCTTCAGGAATGCTGACTAAATTATGGAAGAGACTGCATAGGCCCGGGTTCACTATTATTACTCCCCACTGCTAACCACCACATTGTCTGGTGACTTCCAGTCTCTACAAAAAGGTTTAAGATATTTAAGATTAACCAATGTTCCTCCCTGGAGGGTGGAAAACAAGCGATAATGATCTAAGAATGAAAAACCAAACAAAGCACCCATCTTGTGACAAGAAAAAGAGGATGTTACCAGATAATCCCCAAGGATGTCACCAGATAACCTCTAAGAATACCAGTAGAAGGTTAACTCATCTAAGACATCATCACCTCAAGGGAAAACTACCACAAAAGATCCATAATCCTGTCCCGATAAAAGACTTCAGCCAATCTCCAGTGGGCGAGAAGGGTTTTTTGGAGGACTCTATTCCCCTCTGTCTCCTATATATTGATATATAATAAACATCTTGCTGCTCACCTCACCCGGTCTCAGAATTGGCTATTGCGGCAGGCGGCTCCAATCCGTGTTATGGTGGTAACAAACATATGGTAGACATTTCTTTCCCATACTCCATGTCACTAAACCTCTTTTATATTTTCAATCTTTGTGTCTCTTTGGTCTTCATTCTGAATAATTTTTTTCACTTCTAATTTCCAATACACAGTTCTCTCTACAGCTGTGCTCAATGTATTATCACAGCGGACAGCTTGAGAAGGTCCCACATACTACTATTTAATCTATAAACATTATCAAATTTCCTTTTCAAAAGTCATTTTAGGTGGTGATACACTTATTTTGACAATGCTGCTATCGCTTATAACATTTTTTGAATTCTCTGGAAATTACCTTCAAGTCTATGGAGCTTTTCATTTCTTTATTAGTGCCAAATTCCTTCTATGCTGGTCTCCATTAAATTCCTAATATTAATTCTCACCTTCTGTGTCACCTCTCCTTCTCTGTATTAAGAATTCCTTGTAAGCTGATTTAACCCATACGTAACTGAAGGATATGGAAATTATCTCATTTAACACTGATATGTCATTTAGCAGTAAAATTACTTTAAGCATTATACAAACGTTGAACATATCATTAGATGTAGTAAGAACACTAAAAAATTAAAACACTGAGCTATTTTCACCCATTGCCTTGACATAGATGAAAAAGAATTACAATATACAGTTGTTGGCAAGGGTACGAGGAGACAAACCTGTTGCCGTCATGTCAATTCCAACTATAATGATCCTACAGGATAGAGTAGAACTGCCCCATAGGGTTTCCAAGGAGTGGCTGGTGGACTTGAACTGCCAACCTTTGGTTAGCAGCCGAGCTCTTAAGCCACTAGGGCTCCATGAGGAGACAAGTACTTTCATATACAGCTGATAAGAATGAGAATTGGGATAAATCTTACAGAGGGCAATTTAACAATGGATATCAAATATCTTTATAAACTTTGACTCATTCTAGTGATTTACCCTAGGATGAAACCTGGAACACCCTAGTCTACAACAGTTTCCTTCAAAGTTTTTATCTCAATTTGAAAATATATATTATGCATTCTTATATATGGTTACCTTACTTACATCTAGTTGAACCCAGACGTTTTAAGCTCCATGAAAGCAATGTCATTATTAGCTGGTTTTGCTCACTACCGTTACCCCTGAATTTGGAACATATCAAGGGCTCAACTAATATTTGCTGAATGAGAGAATGAATGAATGAACAAACAAACAAAGCAAATGACTAGCAATCCAGAGGCCTTGATGGAGTAAGAATTATATTAACTATATTGTCTCATGCCATGTTCTTCTTTATACAGTCCAACTTCTTGGGTTAGAACACGGCATCGGGACTGGAGGAAATCTCATTAACAACCTGCAATATGCAGATGACACAATCTTGCTTGAGGAGAGTGAAGAGAACTTGAAGCACTTACAGACGAAGATCAAAGACCATAGGCTTCAGTATGGATTACACTTCAACACAAAGAAAACAGAAATCTTCACAAGTGGATCAATAAGCAATATCATGATAAATGGAGATAATACTGAAGTTCTAAAGGACTTTATTTTACCTGGATCCACAATTAACGCCCATGGAAGCAGCAGTCAAGAAATCAAATGATGGACTGCATTGGGCAAATCTGCTGAAAAAGATCTCTTAAAGTGTTAAAAAGCAAAGATGTCACCTTGAGGACTAAGGTGTGCCTGACCCAAGCCATGCTATTTTCAATCGTTTCATATGCATGTGAACACTGGACACTCAATAAAGAAGACGGAATAAGGAAGACGGAAGAATTGATGCCTCTGAATTATGGTGTTGGTGAAGAAAACTGAATATGTTACAGACTGCCAGAAGAATGAACAGGTCTTTCTTGGAAGACCTCCAGCTAGAGTGCTCCTTAGAAGCGAGGATGGCAAGCCACTATACTTTGGACATGTTATCAGGAGGGATCAGTTCCTGGAAAAAAATATCATGCTTGGTAAAGCAGAGGGTCAGTGAAAAAGAGGAACACCCTCAACGGAGATGGATTGACACAGTGGCTGCAACAATGGGTTCAAACACAGCAATGATTGCGAGGATGGCGCGGGACCCGGCAGTATTTCGTTCTGTTGTACATGGGGTCGCTTTGAGTCTGAACTGACTCGATGGCACCTAACAACAACTCTTGACACAAGCTTAGGTGAGAAAAACGCAAGCCTAAAGTGACAGGGAAAGAATGGGCATTTATTCAAAACGTATTTACAGAGCGCCCACTGTGTACCAGTAAACCCGAGTTCTGGTCTGGCTCTGACAGACCTGCTGTGTGGCTTTAGGCATTTCTCCTTCTCAGAGCCTCGGCGTGCTAAAGGTGAGTAACTGAGGCCGGGGTCTGCCTAATCCAAAGGGCCGTGATGGGGGCTTCAACGGGCTAACGGCGATAAAGCACTTCAGAAAGTGCCCGGGAGCATGAGGGCCAGGAGCCTCAAATGGATTCACAAACGCCGGCCCGAGCCGAGGGAGCAAGCCCTGGGCTGCGTCCGCCCGCAGCAGAGCAGGGAAGAGGCGGCACTCGCCCTCCAAGGGGCCGCACTTACCCGTCGGGCGAATACTCGAGGTTGAAGACGGCACCGTGGGTCCGGGTGCTGAGGTACACCGAGTCCGCGGGGTGGATGGAACCATAGAGGTTAGTCATGGTACGGAAATTGTCCCGCGCGGGATCCACGAACAGTCCGCGGCCCAGACTGCGCTGTCTCAGCCACCCGAACAGCCGGGCTCCAGGGCCGCCCAGGCCGGCGCTGAAGCCCTGCCGGCCTCGGCACACGGCTTTGCAGTCTGGCCCGGGCAGCCGGCGCGGTGGGGAGGGCGGCGACTGCTCCCCCTGGGTAGAGGCGGCCGAGGGCTCCTGACCTCCAGGCGGTCCAAGCTCTCTGGCGCGCACGGCCGGGGGCGGCGAGGGGGCATCGGGAAGGCAAAGGGTCCGGGCAGACAGCGGGGGAGGGGCTGCGTCAACCCCGGTCGCGGGTGGGGGCGGCCCGGCTGCTGCCGCCTGCCCTCCGTGGAGCACCGGCTCGTCATTCCCGGCACCGGCCGCCTCGTCCGCACCCGGACTGCAGGGCCCAAAGGGAAACATGACCAACGCCCCCGCCCCCCGCTCCGGGCCGCTGCCCCGCCGGCCGACACCTCAGCGCTCCCGCTCCAGCCGCCACTTCCGGCGTGCGGCGACCTAATCCCGTCGACTGGGAAACTCGCGCCACCCCTCGGCCACCACCCGCGGAGGACTGGGAAAGTGGGGACACCGCCTGGCTGGGGGTGCTGTGGTCCCGACAGGGAAGTGTCCTGGTAGAATACGACCTCGGGAACGACTAGCCATAGGTGCGCACAACCGAGGATACTCAGGATCCAGGTTGTATGGGGCAGAGTTAGCATCTGGGCGCCGCTTGCGCCCGAGAGTCGGTCGGTAGTTGTCAGGTGACCGTGACTGTATGTGCCTGGGTCTGAATGGGCCTGACTAGTCAGTCGTATGAGGCTGTGTACGATTATGTACTGTTATCCCCACTTTACACTGAGAATCAGCGAGGAAAAGATAGTAGCGTAATATGTGCAAGTCACACATAGTGGCATGGTATGCTGCCTACTCAACCTGGGAGTTAGGTTAAGAACTTTTGCACTGAAAAGTGCTGGCCCGTACAGTGCCTGGAATATGGGGGCTTATTGCTGCCCTAAGTATTTGTCCGACTCCAGCTACTGCCTAGTAGGTCAAGTCTTTATCAAGGCCAAAGCTTTCCTCTCTCCAGGGAGGGGCACATATCCCACCAGGAGTCACTGAGGGGAGCTGAAGACCTGAAAATCAGTCTCACAAGCAATGGAACCCAGAGTCAGTCCTCCTTATATCTGATAGGCAGGGCATGGTGGGCATGACAGACAGATGCAAGACCCTGGACCACTGTTGTTGGGGATAAATACATAGAACTTGTTTGCGGAAATGGGTTAACAAGACCTGCAGGGTTTCTTGGTGAGGGAAGCTGAATCCTCAATAAAGGGAAGCTTGAGGTACAAGGAAAGGTAGATATAAAAATGGACAACTCCTCTTCTGGGCCTTGATCAAGAACTGTGTCGTAGAAAGCTCACATTTGATGACTGTGAGGATAGAGTTGAAGGTGGAGACTTGGAGGAGGAAATCAGATTCAGAGAGGGCTGAACATTCAGCAGCTTCTCCCACCAGGAAGGTTAATAGTTATTCAGCAATCCTGTCCATGAACTGATTGGGAAGGAGGGAAGAAGCAGGGGCCTAAGCTAGATCACCAGCCTTTCCCATTATCTCCCTGGAGAGATACAGACCACCCATGTAGCCCCCACAGAGCAGAAGGGGTAGAGATCTATTTTATGATCAAATGTCTCTTAATGACCCATGACTTCTGGCTGCACCAAATACTTCAGCAGATGCCCTCTGCTTGCCCCCACTCCCCCTACTTATGGCCAATGGTCCAAATTCTATGGTCTGCAAAACCTTCACCATGACACATTCAGCAATGTTAACTTTTGAAATAAGTAAACTCAATTAAACTCCATTTTTAAAAGGGTTACATATTCTAAGATACTTGAGGTGCAGTTCCAACAGAAAAACACAAGCTCTGCAATTAGAGTTTATGCTGGCTCAAAATAAATCAGTTTTCACAGTTCAAACAATTCAAAATTAAAACACTGTAGCCCCAAAGCTTATTTACAACTATTCACTGACAATTTAGAAGGAAATGGGAAACAAAAACATTTTGTAGGCTTGCATGGAACTCTATCAATTAGACAGTGAGAATGATGCTTGAAAAGTTAAGACAGCCACAAATATAAGGCAGTGGTGGTTGTAATAATAGTCATTCAGTAATGCCAGTATTTTTTTTCTTATGCTCCGACTTAAAATGTGAGTGCTCACTTATTCCAAACAATTTTTACTAAAACCTGAAATAAGAATAAATTATATGACTAAAATTCTATTGAAATGACATGATTTTACAACCCATTAGTTAAAAAAAAAAAAAAGGTATTAACTGATTGAGGCACTAAAGATGATACAGCAACTTTAACTGAGCATGTGCCTATTCCTATTTACCTATTGCCTCTGAGAGCCTTTAAATACAACCACCTTAACAAGGAATTGATTTCAAATCAGTCTATACAGACCAGTTTCTAAGTAACACCATTTTTGAAAGCTAAAAAATAACTGGTTTCAGTTGCTCAAATTCAGTTAGATATTAACTTATCAGAAATGGCTAAAGCATCCTCTGAACCCCTTGCCCCTGATGCTCCATTCAGATCACAATAAAAGTAAATGAGTGGCCAAGGTTTCCTGAAATGTGCCCCGTAGGCCCAGGTTATCACATGTCCCTGGATACCCCCAACACATAGGATGTATCTCATCAAGCACGCAGGGAGTAAATTTATTTACTTTCTTCCCTATCCATTGACTTGATGTTTAAAAAAAATTACTTTACCAAACTGATGTCTTATAATGCAACATGACTAAAATGATAAACGCTGGCCTTTCCTTTCAGACTTTTATACTTTGGGGGCAGCAGGTTCACTCCTGGAGTCTTTGACATTACTGGCTCTGCCTATCAAATAGAATTCTTTGTTGGGAACAAGATTGACAAAATGAGCAAGGCGGTTGGACATGGCAAAAAAAGCTGAAATGGCAGCTATGTCCCAGGCATCCTCTCGGTCAAAGCCATGCACCTCGAGCTTTTTGAAATGGTCATCTGTTATGTCATCAGCTTGGGAAATAGCAAGTGCAAACTCCAGCATTGCCTTTTCCCGAGCAGGGAGGTCAGACTTTCTCCAATCCACACAGACCTGCAAGAAAACACACAGTCAGAAGCAGAATCTCTGTCCATCACAATACAGCCAATAAAACTCAAGGCCTAACAAAATGGGCACTGATGAACAAAGGTTAGAGTAAAGGTGCAAGGGGAAAAAAAAAAAAACCCTGCAGCCGTGAAGTCGATTCTGACTCATAGCAACCCTAAAGGACAGAGCAGAACTGCCCCATAGGGTTTCCAAGGATTCGAACTGCTGATGTTTTGGTTAGCAACCTGAACTCTTAACCACTGTGCCACCAGGGCTGCAAAGGGGCAAAGTCAGGCCAAAATAAAACTTTCCAGAAGCATAAGTGTCTTGGTAGAATCCAGTGGAATGCAAACCTGGAAGTCTGGCTTGGCACCATCTCTGTCAAGACTTTCTTGCTCACTCCAACTACTAGCAAACTCTTCCTCCTCTAAACATCAATTGCATCAAAAATCTCAGAACCAAGATTCATAGACTCTAGTACATAAGGGCCCAAAAGTCCGACTTTTTCATAAAAAAAAGTATAGCTCAGAGAGTTATCTCTTTGCACCCAATTCCAAACAAGGCACAATATTTGCAAAATCTCATAGTTTACATTTACTAAGTACTATGTGCTGAGAATGTGTTCAATGCTTTATGTTCATTATCTCATTTCTTATAAAAACCCTAGGTGGTAGTATTATTATCATCCCTATTTTATCAACAAAGAAACTGAAGTTTAGAGAGGTGAAGTGACTTCCCTAAGGTCATACAACTAGAGTGTGGCAGAGCTGGGATCTGAATCCAAGTGTACTAGATTCCAAAGACTGTATTATTAATTAGTACCCTTGCTGAGGCAAAATACTAGCACCACTGAAAAAAAACAGGTGCCATCAAGTCGATTTCAACTCATGGCAACCCCATGTGTTTCAGAGTAGAACTGTATTCCATAGAGTTTTCATGGCTGTGACCTTTCAGGAGCAGATCACCAGGCCTTTCTTCCAAGGTACCTCTGGGTGGGTTCAAAATGCCAACCTTTTGGTTAGCAGCCCAGCGTTTAACCATTTGTACCATCCAGGGACTCTTACTGGAATCACAAAACACCTAAAAATAGAAGACTAGGTAAGCTAACCATGGCATGAAAGCACACCCTGTGGTCACGAGGGAGGTAATTCCTGGGAAACTGATCCTGGATGAGCAAAGGTCTGGTGAGTAGGCAGGAGACTTTCAGCAGAGCAAAGGAGATGGCGTACCTGTCCTGAAGTTATCTTTAGGCTGGCAACAAAGGCCCTTGGGGAATAGTCTGCAAAGTTTCCACTCAGGTAAGTTTAGGAGGGAAGGCTGGGAGGTCGGGAGACTGATGAACCTCATATTTAGGAATAAAAGCAGAGAAAAGACATTTCTGTTCCCCAGCACAGAGGATCAGGAGTGTAGGAGTCAGCAGAACCTTATAAGCTTGGTGACAAACCCATGTTTGCTGTGTCTTTACTCGCAGTCTATTTCTCTGGAATAATTAGCATGATCTCTGACACCCAAAGGGCCTGACTTTGGATGAAGCAAGAAGGGAGTAAGTTGCTGGCTAGGAGAATTGAGACCCATTTCATAACCAGGATTGGTGGGAAAGAACAGATGGAGACAGTTCCAGAATGGGAGGCAGGAAAGCCAAGGCCTGGGACCAGCAGCCAAGAAAAGAAAGAAAACTAAGAAGCTAGTTTGGACCCATTAAGAATAGTCAGTAGATGAACTAAATTCACACTGGAAAATGCAAACAGTATAATGTAGTAAAAAGAATGTAAACTTTGAAAATGGACTCTGCCACATGCTAGTTGTATGCCCTCACGTTAAGTTAAATCTCTGAACCTCAAGTGTGAAATGGTTGTAAGATCACACCTTAGAAGGGGAGTCATGTGCCTTCAAGAGAATGCATGCCAAGTTTCCAGTACCATATCTGGCACCAAGCTGGCGTTCAGCTAACCCCTACACCTAAATATCATGTATAGGTAGAAGCAGGTAGGTACAGTCACGGGACCCGGAAGGGAACTCAAGCAATGGGAAGAGCTTGAGGTCTGTGTTCCCTGCACCATACACTGGCATGGGGTTTGCCCCTTCCTCAGGTATGGAGAGGCCCTGAAATGGCACAGGGGAGGTGGGCACTAACCTGGTCAGAAAGCACTGGGTTCCTCGAGTAGACCCTGTGTAGGGCACTGTGGGCAACCACATTGTATGGGCACCTGTTGGCTATGCTAGTCACCAAAATGATGAGCTCCTTGTCAGCTCTGCTGAGGTGGCCTGGGGAGGAAGAAGAGACATCTGTCCATAAGCCCTGGATAGCAGCTTAGAACAACCCAATGGGCTCAGTCAAGTTTCATCAACAGAGTCACCCACCCACCTACCCATTCACTTGTGCATTCATCCCCAGTCCCTCACTACCAGCTACCCTGTTTTATTTTCTTCATGGTTCTTAACAGTCTCTGATGTCAACTTGTTCTTTTATTTCCTTTAGTGGTCACTGTCTGTTTTCTCCTCTCTAGAATAAGTTTGAAAGTTTAGGCATTTTTCTGACTTGTTCACCATGATATGCCCACAGGAATAACTGGCACGTAGTGGATGCTCAAGAAACATGTGTTAAATGAATTACTCACTTTGGTACCTGGCACTATTCTGGAAACTTTAGTCATTTAATCCTCCCTAGCTCTGCAGAGTGGTTATTATTAATACCATTTTACTGGTAAGTAAACTAAGGCTCTGAGACATTTAAATACTTTGCTAAAGTTCACTTGGATTATTTATGGCAGAACTCACATTTGAACACAGGATCTGTTTCTTCCCTGTATGATAGAGAAGTCATGGAATGATATGATGCTAATATAAAGCAGACAGTGCTCTGTATGCCACTGGAGAAGGGCTGATAAAGGGGCTGTGGGAGTTCAGAGGAAGAAGAGTCCTTCATAAATGAAGGCAGGTGAAATGGACTTGGAAGGAAAGATCAAATTCACAAAGGCATGGGTAGGAGAAAAAGCATCCCAGGGGCAAAGTCTGAAGGGGCTGAGGGAGATAGTGACTGGGACGGCAAGCTCATGTCAGCATGAAGAGCCGTTATGACAGACTGTACCTGCTCTCCCCTTCTTCCTTTAGTGATAGAATACCTTAATTACCTTAATCTTTACTGGACATATAGCCACATAGCTTCCCTTGCAGCTAGGAGTGACCATGTGACTAAGTTCTGGCCAACAGGACATAAAAGGAAGTGATGTGTGCAACTTCCATGTCATGACCTTAGAGGGAAAGGATGTGTGCCCACAGTGCTGCTTGTTTCTCTTCCCACCGTCAGGTAGTGGTGAGCCAACCTGAACATGCAGACAAGCAAGGGCAATCTAAGACAGTAATCAGCATATGGGCCCTGAGCAGCTCACATGGGGACTATTAGGTGAGAGAGAGAGAGAAAAAAAAAAAAAATATGTATATATATATATATATAGTGGGTCTGGGTAGCAACAGCCTAACCTGAATCCTAACGGATAAATCCATGAATGTCAGGCTGAAGTCCATGAGTGTTATTCAGGGGCTGCAGGGAACCATGAAGGAGGGCTTACAAGCTCAGGGAAGGAAAGATGAGCCAGAGTATTACCTAATGTATTTCAGTTATATACCTATAATCATAAAGTAACATTCAGACTTCAGCCTCAGAATTCAGAGGACGTAACAGCCAACTACAGTCCTTCCAAGCTTCTCCCTACCCCTACAGTGATGTGGGGCTATGTGTGAAGGGAGGCTAGCAATCAGGCACCTGGAACTCATCCAGGAATGATTTACCATTGTCTTTCCATTTACCTGTTTCTTTGTTGTAGATGGCATTGTAATAAGCAAAGAAGGCTCTGAATTCCAATGGCCGGTAAGACAACACTTTAAATATATTTGGTAAAAATCCTGTCTGCAAGGAATGAAAAAAACAGGGAAACAAGTAAAATAAAAACTAAGAGCAGGATGGGCACACAGTTAACTGGGTATTCCCCCATGTTGTCTGAGTACCAGATGCAATCTTAGGAAGAACATAGCCTTGGCCTCAAAGCACAACCCACAAACATCTTTTAGGGTATTTTAAGTTTTACTTCTAGAGGTATACATGGTTTCTTTTTGGTAAGTCATTTTATAAAATTTAGAGAGTGAATGTTACATCTAAACCAAATGACATTTCTTAGAATTTAGGTTCTACTACTTTCTACCTAATCACAGAAGCGTTGGTGGTGCTCATTATTTCTAAGAATTAAATTAGTAGCAAGCCTTGCTATTAGTACAGTACTTTACAAAGTTCTTTTATACATCCAATCTCAATTTTGCTTCTCTTTAACACTGTAACACAGGTAAGGTAGGTAAAGCAGGCACTATTATCCCCATTTTACAGATAGGGAAACTGAGGCCCAAAGAGGTTGAGGACTTTCCTGAAGCCATACCAAGAAAGGAAGCCCTGGGATTTTTGACATTTGGGTTTTCAGTATATTTTCTAATAGGATGCTGTGGCAAACCGTTTTTGGCTACTACCAAATAGCCATTTCTTCCCTCCTTGATAACAGAACCTGGAAGTTGTTCAGATACCAGGTTGCCATGGGTTGAGGGAAGGTTGAGTCCTTCCACCAATGCTAGAGGGTGAATCCTGATTGGTGTGAACCAGTCACAGTGATTCCATTTCATTGGTTAGTGACTGGCTAAGGAATGGACATGTGACACAGTTCTGGCCAATAAGAAATGAGGGGAAGCAGCAGGAAGCCTTCCTCTCTCTGTAAAAGGTATATGAAGAGGAGGTGTGTGTGCCCTCTTAGGTCCTCTAGGAGTTCTGCAAGAATGTGTTTTTGCTGTTGTAGTCGTCTAGTGACCATGAGAGGGCAAGTCTGAGGACAGAGTCATCACACTGTGGAAGATAGAGCCAAAAAATGGAAAGAACCTAGTCCTTGATGACATCACTGAGCAACTGAATCAAACCATCCTGGAATCACCCATCTCTGGACCTGCTATATATGAGACATAAAACTGTCCTTACTGTTTAAGCCAGCTGAACTGGATTTTTTGTTACCTGTAGCTGAAGCACCCTAACTGATAACAGATGGTAAAGGTTCATTATGGGTCTAGAAACCACAGTTTAAAGAACCATTTATATTAGCCAGGGACAGGGGCTTGGGAAGGTGGGGATGTGCAGACAGGTGAGGGTTGTACTAAGGAAGAGCTGAGGCTCCAAGCCTCACCCACCAGAAGAGCTGTGATTTTTATCTTTTTTACATATTGGATTTTGATGCAAGATTTTGTTTAGGGGGGAAAAAAATCCTCAAAATTATACCACCAAGATGGAAAAACAAATGGTTATGTTTATAGAAGGGTCTTATAATTTAGCAGCTTTAAAAATTATCCTCAGGAGACTGGTGGTAGCACCTAAAGTGCCTAGTCACCTGCTACAGGAGTTCAAGAAAAAATGGTGCCCTCGAGTCTTTACAGCCAACAGAGGGGTGCTCTTAGTACGGCTGAAAAACTCACCTACCTACTCACCCTAAAGAATAGGGACATGCTTTTCTTTCAGACTCTCAGGGGCAGCTGTCAGCCCCCTGCCTGGCTCAGCGCATGATCCCCTACCACAGCCAGAGTCCAATGCCTGCACCAATCACCCATGCCTCTCTAGGACTGGGGGTGAGAGCCTGCATCACACACTTGGTGACCGACTGCCTGAACACCCAAGCTGAACCCATATAGGAAAATTTAACAGACTCCTATGTGCACATACTTAGTTACAGAACTAACTACCTGGTGACAGGACGTTAGAGATCCAAAGGTGTCAAAAATCAAACTAGTGCACACAAGCAGCCTATCTGGGCATATCAAAACAAAACAAGAAGCTAGGTCTCACTAAGCAAACACAAAATAAAATTGTAATAAATTATCGATGGCTCAGAGACAACAGTCAATATCAAGTCACATAAAGAGGCAGTCCATGATG